GGCACCACCAACTTAATTTTGGGCTTCTAACCTCCACAGGCTGAGCATAAATGTTTTTTGCCAGCTACCAGTTTGTGGCAGTTAGTTACAGCAGTCCTATTAAACTAGTATATGTCTTCTTCTGCAGGAAGTTTTTAATTTTGAAGTCCATTGTATTTTGTTTAACTGCTTATACTTTTTATTTCATATCTAGGAAACTTCCCTAAGGCAAGGTTATGCAGATTTTCACTTTTTTTTTTTTAAATAAGAGTTGTACAGGCTGAGGATATAGCTCAGCAGCACAAGCACTTGCCTGGCAAGCCTGAGGTCATGACTTCGATTCCCAATACCAAAAAAAAGAGTTGCACAGTTTTTGTTGGTGTTGAAGACAGGGTCTCGCTATGTAGTTGATAGAGTGACCTTGAATTCACTGTGTGGCCAGGCTGGCTTGGAACTTGAGGGTCTTACTAGTGCTGGGATTACAGGTATGGTGTGTGCCCCTGTGCCTGGCTGAGTTTTATCTTTCTGGCACTTAATTTAGAGCTTTGATCCATTGAGTTTGTTTTGTTTTGTTTCCAGTTTTACATGTGGATACCTACTTCTCCCAGGGCCATTTGCTGAAAGATTATCCCTATTTGAATGATCTTAGCGCCCTTATTGAAAGTCAGTGATCATCAATGTACAGGTCTATTTCTGGACTCTAAATTCATTCCATTGGCGTACATGCCTGTCTTCGTGGCCATTCTATGTCTCTTGCTGTTGTGTGTGAGTATTGCAATGGTCAGTTTGTCTGTTATCTAGACACCCATACTGTCTTGATTCATAGCTGTAAGCTAACCTTTTTTTTTTTCTTTTTTTTTTGTGAGGAGGATGCTGGAGATTAAACATGGGGCCTTACACATGCTAAGCAAGCTCTCTTCTCCTGAGTGAAACTCCAGCCTTTATATTAATATTTGAACTTCGAAAGTGAAGTTATTTTTGAAGCTTGTTTTGGCTATTCTGTATCCCTTGAAGTTCTGTATGAATGTTACAGTGACTAGTTTGTCCATATGTGGATAAAAGGCTCTTGGAATTTTGATAGGCATTCCATTGACTCTGTCTTCCAGTCCATGCATAGTGGATGTCTTTGCATTTATTTAAATCTTTTTTACACTCTTTCAATAATAGTTCTTAATGTATAAGTCTGGCACTTCTTTTTTAAAAATTTTTATTGGTATTTCCTCTTGATATTTTAAATGAAATTGTTTGCTTAATTTCACATTGCTCATTGCTAGTATACAGAAAGAGAAACAAGTTTTATATGTTGCTCCTGTTTCCTGCAATTTTGCTGAACTAATTTGTCAGCTCTAAATAGTAATTTGTAGAATTTAGTGTTCAGTAGGTAAGATCATGTCCTTTGAAGGTAGAGATAGTTTTTCCTTCTTCCGTCTTCCTTCACAATCCTGATGCTTTTCCATTTTCTTGTCTAGTTGCCCTAGCTAGAGCCTCCAATACAGTCATTTTCCTGATCTTAGAAAGGAATGCTTTCAGTTTTTCACCATTAGAACGTGTTAGCTCTGGATTTTTCACAGATACCCTTTTATGAAAATGAGAAATTTTCCTTCCGTTTCTTGTTTTTTGTTTTAATGTTTTTATAATTGGAGAATGATGAGTTTATGTAATTTTTAAGGCAATTGTAAGGCTTGTCTTATTTGGTTCTTATTTCTCTGATACCACTTTTTTGTCTGAAGTCCAGTGCCTTGAAAACATTGTTTGACATTATTTAGCCCCTCTTCTCAGTTGTTTGAGATGGCAGGGTAAATCTGGATCTTACTATCCATCTTGACTGGCAGTGGAAGTCAGTTTTGTTTTGACCATTTTAATCTCTGATTCATTTAGAATATGTGAGAAGTGGATCCAATTTTGTCTTTTTGCAGATGGCTGTGTAGTAATTTCAGCTGATTTAAAATTCAAGTCAGTAGTCACTGGTTGTAAAAGTGCCATTTTTCTCCACCATCTTTTTCTTACTATCTGTGCATATTCAGTGTTCTATTTTAGATTTTCTGTCCTATACATTGTTCATTCTGTTTATCATGTTTTATCCTCTTTTAAAGTAAGACTAATGCTCTCCACATTGCTCTTTTTCATAATGTTTTTTGTTTGTTATTCTTCTAATAACAATTTTTATGATCACAAAATTAAAAATACAGTATTCTCTTATGAAAGTTAATATTTTAGCTCCAGAATTTCTTCTGTTCTAATTATAAAGCATTAAGACATTTTAAGTAGGATTCAAATCTCGTAACCTTTACAGAGAATCTGAGTGGAGAAATTCAGACATAATTACATACTTCACATTGCTCTTGGCTCCACTGAGAACTGTTCTAAGAGATATTTCAAACACATAAAAAGATCTGGGGCCCAGATGTGGTGGCATGCACCTGTAATCCCAGCACTTGGAGGGCTGAGGCAGGAGGATTGCCATGAGTTTGAGGACAGCGTGAGCTACATAACTGAGGTCAATAAAGGCCACCCTGCACTCTCTAGTGAGACCTTGCCTGCAAACAAATAAACAAACCCCCAAAATTGGATCATTTAATTTTGGAATTTTTTTATTTAGTGTTTTTGGGCTGTGGGTAATTAGAAACTACAGAAAGCAAGACTGCAGATTGGGGGGAACTACTGTTCATGTGATTGAACATTAATAAGTGACAACATATACATAAAATACCTAGGTGGGTTTTGTTTTTGTTTTTTTTGTTTTTTTTTTTTTTTCCAGTACCGGGAATCAAACTGATGACCTTGCACTTGCCAGGCAGGCGCTGCGCCACTGAGCTAAATCCCCAGCCCTAGATGGGTTTTTAGTGGATTTCAAAGTATTCAATATTTTCCTCCAGGGGCTGGGAATTTAGCTCAGCGGCAAAAGCGCCTGCCTGGCAAGCGCAAGGTCGTGAGTTCGGTTCCCGGTACCGGAGAAAAGCCAAAAAACCAAAAAAAAAAAAAAAAAAAATATTTTCCTCCCTTCTCCTTCCCCCCCTCTGTCCTTCCTCTCTTCCCTCTTCCCTTCTTACCTTCTTTCTCCACTACAAGTATTTGAGGTTTGTAGTGTATTTGGCATAATAGAATGATGTTTACTTTCAGTGTGCTGGGTCAGTTTTGAAATGATGCATTCCTGCCAATAAGCTTATTTAGAGTCTGTTCTACAGTACTCGTCTTTTTTCTTTTCTTTTCTTTTCTTTTTGTCTTTTCGAGACAGGGTCTCACTATGCAGTTCAGGCTGGTCTTGAACTCACTTTGTAGCCCAGGCTAACCTCGAATTCGCAACGATTCTCCTGCCTCAGCCTCCCAAGTGCTGGGATTATAGGCATGCGCCGCCACACTCGGCTCAGTGCTCATCTTTGATAGAGAAACAAGACCTGCTCCTTTCACTTTTCTTTTATTTATCATATGCTGATAAGGGGTATAGAATTTTTAATAAAGGAAGATGCAAATGTCGTTTTTAATGTATCACTTTTAGGTTTCTTTTCTTTTTTATTTTTCTTTTATAAAATTATAGCTGGGCATGGTGGTACACGCCTGAAGCCCCAGCACTTGGGAGCTGAGGCAGGAGGATCACCCCAGTCCAAGGCCAGCCTGGGCTACATAGTGAGTTGAAGGCCAGCCTGAACTACATGGTGAGAGTCTTGTCTAAAAGTAAATAAGTAAAAAAAAATTTTAATTAAAAAATTGTGTACACATATCAGATATCTTGGAAAAGCCCTTTTTCATCATCAATCATAGTTACAAATGATTACAGACATTCTTTGACACCAGTGATAACATTAGATAATAACAGATGTGCTGTAGAACAAAATGACACAGATTCTGCTCTGAAGGATTTTTTTTCCTTCTAGTTAGGAAATACACTGAAACATTGGAAAACGGTAGCACTGCCAAATAAGTAATAAGTCACATCTATAAAGTTTTTAAGATCCCTGTGTGCCAGGTTGACTTTGAGCTGAGGTTTTAGAGTAGAAGTAGAGCCGGGGATATAACTCAGTGACACAAGCACCTGCCTGGCAAGTGCAAGGTCCTTAGTTGGATTCCCAGTACCAAAAAAAAAAAAAATTCAAACATGGAAAAACAGAATAGAGTAAAAGTAAAATTTCTGTGAGTGAAAAGGAAAATAGCTTGGAGGGAGGAGGTGAAATGAAACAGGGCAGGAGGCAGAAGTCACATCTTGAGGCCTTCTTTTGTTCTTTTGGTGCTGAGGACAGAACTTAAGGCCTTGTGCATCCTGCACACTGGGTATAAGTCAGTGATGTGACCAGCTTGCCCTAGAGCGATAGTGGCAAACCTGTGGCATGAGTGCTGCTGCCGGCTGTTTGTTACCATTGAAACCTCCAAAAGGTTTGCCATCCCTGACTTAGGCTTTTGTGAGAGGGTATGGGTAGATACAGTGGAAAGGTTCTAATAGCTGACATTTGCAAGCTTGCTCTGTGCCCGTCGTTGTGCTAGTCAGCTTACATATTTTATCTACGTTAATCTTTACGTGGTGATACAGGTAATTTATTACTATTTTGAAAATAAGGATAATTTAAAGAAATTACACTGTCTTCTTACAGTCTGACTTTCAGTGAAGGGAGATCAAAGCCTGATTTAAACCACTTGATGTAAAAATTTGTATTTTAATTGCCTGTAAAACTAGTAACTTACAGTTAGGTTGTAGAAAGTCTTGAATGCCAAGATGAGTAGATTTTATTCTTGTTGTCTAATATGTATAGTAATCATCTAATGACCCTTTACTAACAAATCAATCAGCAGACTTCCTAAAATTAATCTGTGTAAAGTAGTTGGAAATTTTTGGGTCACTCAAAATATAGTCTTAATAATATTGTAGATACTAGGATTTCAGTGTTAAAAACAAAGGTGGGGGCTGGGGATTTAGCTCAGTGGCACAGCGCCTGCCTGGCAAGCGCAAGGTCATGAGTTTGATTCCCGGTACTGGAAAAAAAAGGCGGGTTTTCAAAAGACCAGAATAGGTGATTTTCCTTTTCTATCAGGCAACACTGGACTATGGAATGTATTCTCGAGAAGAAGAACTATTAAGAGAAAGAAAACGCATTGGGACAGTTGGAATTGCTTCTTACGATTATCACCAAGGAAGTGGAACATTTCTGTTTCAAGCTGGTAGTGGAATTTATCACGTAAAAGATGGAGGGCCACAAGGATTTACGGTAAGTTGGAGTTACTGTTTGTTACATCTGTTTTAGGGTCCTCAAGATTATTTGCACCTGAATCAGAAAGTTACCTAACAGATAGAAACTTCAGAGTTAAAGAAGGAAAGGTTTATTTAGCTCACAGTTTGTAGAGGTTTCAGTCCATAGTTGGCTGGTTCCAAGGCAGGGTGGCTTGGCAGAGGGGCATCGCAGAGCAGGTGGGAGGCAGCAGCAGATAAGCAAGAAAGCCGCAGAAGCAGAATAGCAGCAAGTGACCGCAACAACCTCTTTCTGTCCTTTATATTCCATTCAAACCACCTACCTTTGGGGTAGCACTTACACCCTGAGCGGGGCACCCTTAATCCCAGCATCACACCATTGATCCCAGCGTCACTCACCCTATGTCTAGCCCCTTCAAAAAACTCCACCTGTGACCACATGGGGCTTTGGGGGTACATCTAGATATAAGCTATAACAACCCGCCAACTAAGAAGTTTAATTATAGCTGGGCTTGGTGGTGCATGCCTATAATCCTAGCTAATTAACAGGCCAAGGTAGGACTATGGCATGTTCCAGGTCAGCCTAGGCAGTTTAGCAAGATCTTGTCTCAAAATGAAAAGACTGGGCTCCATGCTCCCTGGGCTCAAATCCCAGTACACAAAACTGGGAGGAAGGGGAAAGAAGGAAAGAAACATATTTCTGGTGAAAACAAGAAATACAATATTAATGTCCAGTTGTAAGAGTTAATAACTTTCCAGTGACATTAAGGTAAAAATTCAAAGTGCTCAAAATTCTTGCTATATAGGATGATACAATAAAGGGAATCAGTTTCCATTTTCTATTTAAGCACAGAGGGAGATTGTTAAAGATGTTATCACAAGGCAGTTCATTTTTGGTTATCTTGAAAGCCAATTCGTCTCAGAATTTTCATGGTTTTGGTTTTATTCTTAGCAGTTTTTTTGTTTTGTTTTGCTTTTTCCAGTGCTGGGTTTGGATGGTTGGTCGGTTGGTGGATTGGTTTAGACAAGGTCTCATTGTGTAGTTCAGGCTAGTTTTGAACTCACTGTGTAGCTCAGGCTGTCCCAGAATTCATGCTGCTCCTCCTGTCTCAGCCTCCCAAGTGCTGGGATTATAGGTGTATACCATCACCCCCAGCTGAGTGCCAAGAATTGAGCCCAAGGCCTTTGCACTGAGCTATATCCCCATCTTTTTTTTTATTTGGATAGGTTTTCACTAAATTGCTAAATTGCCCAAGTTAAACTGAAATTTGTAATCCTCTTGCCTCAGTCTCCCAGAATGTTGGGATTATAGGTGTGTAATACCATGCCTGTCTGCCTAACAGTTCTTTATGGAGGTATTGTTTTGATAGAATTGTGATGATCCTGGCTTTTGTTATATTTTTATGAGCAGGCTACTTTTATTGGTAAAACTTAATTTTATTAAATTGTTTCATAAATAATAAATAAATATTTAATAAAAGCGTTTAACAACTAGTAATTATTCCATTGAACAGGTTGGAGCAACAAAATTTGTGTAGTTATATTAGAATGTCATATCGTCTTCTATTATATTGCCTTTATATAATGTAGTATCTCCTTTTACCGTTAGCCTTTTCATTCATGATAACAAATGAGTCCTTTTTTATAAGTTAAGGCAGTTCAAAGTATGTTTTTCTGAGAGCAGTTTTTGTTTTTTTTTTTTTTTTTTCAGTTTTTGTTTTTGTTTGTTTGTTTTCTGGTACTGGGAATCAAACTCACGACCTCGCGCTTGCCAGGCAGGAACTGTGCCGCTGAGCTAAATCCCCAGCCCCTGAGAGCAGTTTTTGTAGTTGACATTTTATCTAGAAATATTCATCTCATAGAAGGGGTGCTGGCAGACAAATATATATGTGTCAGCCTGATACCTACCTTAAAATGTTGTTTACCTTTCTAGCAACAACCTTTACAGCCCAATTTAGTGGAAACTAGTTGTCCTAACATACGCATGGATCCAAAATTATGCCCTGCTGATCCAGACTGGATTGCTTTTATACATAGCAGTGATATTTGGGTGTCGAACATCATAACCAGAGAAGAAAGAAGGCTCACCTATGTGCACAATGGTAAGGCATGGCTCTTAAAAATCTTTTCTGAAAAGTCTTTTTGGAATTTAATTTGCTTTTGCTTTCATTTTGAAATTGAAGCAACCTAAGTATCTATATGTTAAATTCAAGTCTTTAAAAGGTTAAAAGTATATAGAAAAGTACTGGGGTAAAGGGTCTGTGACTATGTGGTGCTGCCTTGTTTTAAATTTATTTTCAAACTGGGCATGGTGGCGGCACACGTCTGTAATCCCACCATTCAGGTGGCTGAGGCAGGAGGATTGCTGTGAGTTCAAGGGCAGCCTATGCTACATAGTGAGACCCTGTCTCAAAAAAAGAAAGAAAGAAGGAAGGAAGGAAAGAATTCACTCCAGTATTCAGTTAATCCATAAAAAGGAAGGAAGGAAGGAAGGAAGGGAGGGAGGGAGGGAGGAAGGAAGGAAGGAAAGAAGGAAGGAAGGAATTAAGGAAGAGAAAGAAAAGAAAGAAATTTACTTATTTTCAAACAGCACCACAACATGGTACATCTGACCTGATTGTTCTTTTAGACTAACAAGACTGATAGAATTTTCCCAAAATCATACCCACTAAAATAAAGTTTTGCTGTGCTTCTGTGCCCGGGCGCACACCTGTGGTCCTAACACTTGACAGGCTAAGGCAGGAGGATCATTGGAGGAATTCAAGACCACCCTAGGCAGCATAACAAGAGCTCATCTCAAAAAGAAAAAAAATTAGTCTTGCTTTTGGTAAACAAACAGAAAAAGAAAGCGCACACTATCAGAAACTGCCTGAAAATTGATATTTCTGTTTTTGACAGTCTACTTAGTATTGTTGTCATAGTGGGGGAAAAACAGAACTTTGTTAGACCATGTGGATTATGGAATATTTACTTAAATTTTATTGAAGTGGTTATAATAATACAAAGCATTGCTCAGAACACAGAAAATGTGTAAATATTATCCTGTAAAGATTTCATACAAATAAAAGATAAGACAGTGTATTGATTTTTCTTTGAACGTGTAAAATAGAGGTTAAAATAAAACTCCATAAGGAAGGATGGTAACTCTGAAATTGTATTTGTCCAACTTTGGTTTAATTTGAGGTTCCCCTTTCCATTCTGGGATCACAGGAAGGGGACATGATGCCAGACTTGGTCATCTTTCTTAATCATCCCCTTGCCATCATTAATCATTAGTTTAATTAATTACAGTCTTTAACAGAGATTATAATAGGTTTTGGGTAGGAAACAAATGATAGATTCTGCCCTCATTTTTATTTTTATTTAAGAAATATCTCAAAAAATTGAAAACAGTTCTATAGCCAAATAAAGAAATAGTAACCTCTCCACAAATTGTGAAAAGATCATTGTGTGCCACAATAGATCAGGAAATTTAAGCCTGAGATATAGCTCAGTGGCACAGTGCCTGCCTGGCAAGCACAAGGTCCTGAGTTTGATTTGAGTCCCGGTACCAAAAAAAAAAAAGAAAAAAAGAAAAGAAATTTGCTGGTTAGAGTTGAATTTGAGCTAAGTTACTCTAGTACCCAATAATGTAATTACACCAAAGACTTTTGTACCATGAGGAGGATGAGTGTTTTGAAGCATTTGTTTGAACAGTTTACATTGCTAGAAAAAGTGCTGAATTGAGTCAAGAAATACCTTCCACTCCAGTATTCAGTTAATCCATAAAAAGCCATTAAGATCTGGTGTTCCTAGCAATGTGGCAGGTACACTTGTTCCTGTACTATAAGAACTATAGGTACTATAGCTATAGGTTCCACATTTAAAGATTTAATCAACTGCAGATCATAATATATAGGAAGAAATTTCCAGAAAGTTCTAAAAAGCAAAATTTGAGTTTGCTGCACTGTGCTGAATCCATGCCAGTGAGGTGATGACAGGCAGCAGCACCTTGCTGAAGTCCTGGTCATTTCACAAAGCTGCCCACCTCTCCTTTCACGTTACTGTATGGTAACTTCGATTGCTATGTTGGTATCAAACATGTAGACTTTTTTCTAGTCATTATTCCCTAAAAAATAAGGTATAACAAGTAATTTGCATACCATTTACATTGTGTGAGTTATAATAAGTAATCTAGAAGTTTTAAAAAATACACATGAGGATGTGCATAGTTACATGCAACTGCTACACCTCGGGACTTGAATTGAACGTTTGTAGGTTTGAGTATCAGAGGAGGATCCTGGAACCAGCTCCGCACGTACAGGGCAGCTGTACTAAGCATACAAACTGAATAAGACATAGTCCTGGGAAATTACATAAACAGAAAACAGTAACGTGGAATGAGAGTCAAATACCAGGTGGTATAAGGGCACCAACAAAAGTCAGTAATTGGGGAAGGCTTCCCAGAAAGGATGACCCCTACCTGATCTTCAGTGATGTTTGTCTGTCGGCCAGTACACCCCTGACAAGGGCACTGCACTAGAAAGGTCTCCGTGCAGAAACTGCCATGGTGGTGTGAGGAGTTAGAAGCAGTGTGCGCTCCCAAAGCGGGGGTGGAGGGTGGTCAGGAAAGCCCAGGGGGAGGGTGGAGCATGTCTCGTGTAAATGAATGTGGACTTTCTCATGGGGCTGGAGTCCTTTGAAAAGTGCAGCAGGTGAGCCTTGTAGTCACATTATGGATAAAGTACTCGGAACACTTTGTGGAAGTTATATTTGAGAGCTACAAGACAAGAGAGGAACAACCAGAATTTGGTTGTTGCAATTACTGGAGATACATGATGTAGAACTAGAGGAAAGGGATGGAGCAGGGAAAACCATCAGTTTCAAAGGGGAGGTTCTCATGTTTAATGGATCTCCTTTTGAAGTCAGAAAATCAGAACAGCAGCAGAATGATTGGGCTCTGTACTTAGTAAGTCTGTGTTGGAGATCCCAGCTGTGTTTCATGCTTTCAGCATTAAATATTCACTATGTTCCAGTTATTATACTTGAGGTTGCAACTACAGAGCTCTGACATAACCTGTCAGAAATAAGGTACTTTTTAGTTCTTTTTTTCTTTTTCTTCTGTGAAATTGCTTTCCACACAGGATTTATGAAGATTGGCAGAATTTAAAGTAGAAAGGCACTAAGCTCCTGAAGGATGTTACACTTGTGTTTTTTTCTTTACCATGCATCGAGGTGTGTGATTATTAACAGTATTATTTAAAAATAGTTTGGTAGTTAAGAGTACAGATAGAGGTTACAGTATAGAATCAGTATCTGGTTAAGCACCAAATTGTTAATTCTGTGACCTCATCAAGTTATTTAACTTGGCCAGGGATATAGCTCAGCAGCACACACTCCTGCCTGGCAAGTGCAAGGTCCTGAGTTCAATTCCCAGTACAAAAAAAAATTATTCAACTTACCTCTACATCTGTAAAAATATTAATTGCATATTAACATATAAAATTGTTAGGAGGTTTTAATGAGTTAATATTTGTGAAGTGTTTAGAATTTTATAAGCTGTCATCAGCCCAGTCTGTATATTCACAGTAGGCTCTAAGTCAAAATCTAAGTGAGCCTGGCCGATCAGCTTGTGCATGTGTTCATTTTCTAATATGATAGAGGAATTAAGAAGTTACAAAATACTGGTTTCTGTTCCTAAATAGTTTCTCTTATGGGGGAACAAGATGATCACATTATTCAGTTAATAAATAACTTGGAGGAATAATGAGGGGCTCTACTGCAGATTGGACCCAGGGCCTTCACACTGACTTATGTCTCAGCCCTTTTTTTTTTTTTTTTTTTTTTTGAGACAGGGTCTTGCTAAGTGGTTTAGGTGCCTAGGCTGGGCTTGAATTTGCAATCCTTCTGTGTCAGCCTCCCAGAATATTGGAATTATAGGCATGCACCACCAACCCAGCTCAGTAAGTAACTCTTAATAATTGCGGTCTGTAGTAAGTGATAGGGAGATACCAACAAATGGTACTTGTGCTCATATCTAAAGGAGACCAGGGCGCTGGAGATATAGCTCAGTGGCACAGTGCCTGCCTGGCAAGCGCAAGATCCTGAGTTTCATTCCTGGTACCAAAATTTAAAAAAAGTAAAGGAAATCAGAATGTAAAATAGAATTGGGGGTGTAATTGTGGAGTAGTTGAAAGACCCAAAAAAATGAAATACTGGCTTTTACTCTGTTATTCCAAAATTGAAAGAGATCTGAACACAGATAAATTTTCATTAGCTTGGTGCTAAAGCTCATTTGGTAGGAAAGCCTGACCCGAACTAGCCTGAGGTTATTTATAATCTTAATCCTACTCAGCTTGCCTATTCATAAGTTTGCTGCAATAGTATTGGGGTATTTGATTACAGCTTACTTGATTACTCTGCTGGAGATGCTGCATAATATATATAGATACATGGTATATGGAAAATACTTAAAATTCTGAGCTCCAAATACTTCTAAACTCAAAATTTTTCAGTTTAGGGAGTAGGTTCATACTGTACATTCAGGTCAGACAGTATATAAGTAAAAATAATAAAATCTTGCTTAAGCCAGATGTGGCCATTTGTACCTGTAGTCCTACTACTTGGGAGACTGAAGCAGGAGGACCACTTGAGCCCAGGCCATGCAACATATAGCAAAATGTTTCCCCCTCCCACAAGAAAAAACTTGCCTCGAAAATTAAAATCATAATTGGACATGGTAGAATACACCTGTAATCCCATCACTCTGTGAGACTGAGGCAGGAAGATTGCAAGTTTCAGCCCAGCTGGTGGAACTTAGCAACTGAGTGAGATTCTGTCTCAAAATAAAAAATAGCAAAAGGGCTGGAGATGTAGCTTAGTGCAGAGGCCCAGGTTCAATCCCTAGCACCACTCAGTCGACCAATAATAAATAAAATATCAAACAGTCAGTGAAATATTACCACGTGTCACTAGATTACACCAAATGTTGGAAAGGAACTTCCTTATGTTGATGTGGTAAGAGTATAAAAGAACACAAATGTTTTGGAGAATTGTTTACCAGTTTCTTATAAAATTAAACATATGTATATTTTACTGTCCATTCCTAGGTATTTACTCAAAAGAAATGAAAACACATATCCACAAAAGATTTTATGCAAGAATGTTCATAGCACATTTATTCATAAGGGGCAAAAACCAGAAGCAACCTTTCAGTGTCCATTAACAGGTGAAAGAATTGTGGTATAAATAGAATGCAGTTTAGGAACAAAGGACTGATACATGAGTAAGAAAGTATCTTCCTCACCAAATAAAGGCTTTTAAGTTATTCTCGTCTCTATGTAAGAGAGGTTCAAGTCACCATGACCTTTTACGTGTATTGTTTCTTTATGATCCTAGCTAAATGGAAAAAAATATTAAGTCATGTTTATGGAGCATGTCCAAGACTTAAATGCTTTCTGTGAATTGACTAATTCAGACCTCATAATGCGCCAAGAAGGTGGGCTTTTCCTGCAGTTAACAAACAAGATGCTGCATTAGAGTGAGATCAGGTGATTTGCCAAGGCCAGGCAATAGGTAATTGCTAGAGTCTAGATTTGAACTCAGTGTGTTTGGCTCCAGAATTCACCACTCCATTCAGACTCCTTTCAAAGTAACTGGATCATTTTGCTTTGTTTCTTTGAAAAGAGCACTTTCATGATAATTTTCCCTATGTGTTTGTCCAGAGCTCGCTAACATGGAAGAAGATCCCAGGTCAGCTGGAGTAGCTACATTCGTGCTTCAAGAAGAATTTGACAGATACTCTGGCTATTGGTGGTGTCCAGAAGCTGAAGCAAGTAAGAAGCACGTTATGTTATAGGGTGATTAAAATATTAAAGATTCTAGGCCGGGCTGGTGGCACACATCCATAATCCCAGCACTCGGGAGGCTGATGCAGGAAGATTGCTATGAGTTCAAGGCCAGCCTCGACCACAAAGTGAGTTCAAGGCTAGCCTGAACTGCATAGTGAGACCCTGTCCCAAAAAGACAAAAAACAACAAAAACAAAAAAAGTAGTAAAGATTCTGAAGTTTGAATAGTACATTGTAAAATTTTGACAGTTGGGTCTAGGTAGTTATTTAGAATATATAGACTATCTCACCATAGTGAATTGCAGTAAAAACAATTATACTGTAGTTCGGAGCTTCAAAATCTATACTCTTTGTCAATTTTTCACTTAAAAGTTGATTTTAAGGGGCCAGGGATATAGCTCAGTGGCACAAGTGCCTGCCTGGCAAGCGCAAGTTCCTGAGTTTGATTCCTGGTACCCGCCCCAGCCCTCCCATCACACCCACACACACCAAAAAAAGACTTTTGTAGACATTGAGCAAGGAAAAGATATTCATAAACAAAAGAACAGAAAGGAAAGGGACTCATCTTTGTCAGAACATCTTTTTGCTCCTAAAGAATTGTCATACTCTGAAGATTTTGAAGTATCTTCTTTCAAAAAAGAAATTTCAGCTGAATTGTGTAAAGATGACTCTGAGGTATCATCTTTGTTGTCAGTCAAGAAAGAGACTCTTAAGAGATATGTCACAGCAAACAAGGAACTCTAGAAGAGAGCCACCAGCTTTGGTAGTGACAATGAAATCAGTGAGTGCCTAAGTGCGAAAAGCCTTTCTGTTCATAGCAGTGTCCAGTCGGAAAGGCTGTTAGAACTCAAGTCCCCTACTGAGCTGATGAAAAGTAAGGAGCGTAGTGATGTAGAGCCTGAACACAGAGTTACTGAGTCCCTTCCCTTGGCTCCAGTTTTTGTTGCAGATGAGTTACTTGATTTCCACGTCGGTGATATGGTGTTGATAGGGTGTTTAGCCAGGAACTCTTCGATTCAAACGTGAAACTAGTTTTGCTAAAGGATTTTGGGCTGGAGTGGAGTTAGATAAACCTGAAGGAAATAACAGTGGAACATATGATGGCATTGTATGTGTTGTGTGCAGAGATAAGCATGGTATTTTTGCTCCTCAAAAAATATCTCACATTCTAGAAAACTTTAGTGACTATATAGACATAAATGAAGATGAAGACTGTTGTTCAGATGAACAATATCAACACTGTAATCAAGAACAAAAAGATACAGAAGGTCTAAAAGATAAAGAAAATGATGTAGCTGAATATTTTTATGAGAAATCTCTACCTCGTACACATGACATAGAATCCTCAGTGGATAGAGACAGAAGCCTTAAAATAGAAACAGACGATATGTGGGAGTTTCCGGGGTGCACAAAGCTCACGTTCACCAGCAGTTGCCAGTGGGTTCACTGATACCTTTAAAGGGTAACAGAGACCTTTTTGGTGTCACAGAAAAGGTTTCCATTGCTGCAGAAGATGACACTTTAGACAATACCTTTTCTGAAGAATTGCAGAAGCAACAACCATTTACAGAAAAGGAAAAGAATGTATATTCTGAAGTTTCAGAAAAGCTTTCTACTCCACTTCTAATCCTTTTAACGAGAAAAAAAACAATTAGAAGCCCAGCTAAAGTCATCACTCAAAGAAGAAAAAAAGTCAGAGCAGCAACTGGAAACAGTCAGCTTACTGGCAGACAGGTTGCTAAACGTTGTTGTGAAGGACACAGTCAATCAACTGCAGCAAATCAAGAGAGCTAAGAATGAGAAAATTCAGCTTAATAATAAGGAATTCCCTGATGATGACCAAAAGAAAGTACCATCCCAAGATGCATCCCAGAATCTGGAGGAACAGTTCGTCAGTGTTCTAGACTGCTACTTGCAGTCTGAATTGGAAGATGAAAAAGAAGAGATTTCCTCTCCAGATATGTGTCCCAGACCGGAACGCTCAGTGTTCGGTGCTAGTGGACAGGAAGAGCTTGCTAAGAGACTTGCTGAACTTGAAATCAGCCAGGAGTTCCTCAGCACAGCAGGAGATGATCAAGACTGGTTTGATGAAGACTTTGGTTTGAGTTGCTATCACAAGATCCAAAAAAGTAAAGCAGAAGAAACAATTGTACCTCTAATGGCCGAACATAAAAGATCACCTCAGAAACCATGTGCAACATTATTGGCAGTCCCACATACTGCAGAAGAAGTAGGAATTCTTGTACATAACGCAGCAGAAGAACTTTGGATATGGAAAGAATTAGGCCTTGACCTTCATAGCATCAGTAGTCCTACCAGAATGCTTGGCTGCGCTCGTAAGGGCTTAGATATAGAGAGCACTAGTAAAATAATCTACAAATGGGATTTTTTGATTTAACAAAAGAGATTTTTGAGGAAATATTTGATGAGGATCCCAACTTGAATCAGCCTGTCTGGATGAAGCCATGTCGAATCAACTCTAGTTATTTCTGGTGAGTGGAAAGTCCAAATAACCTCAATGAAATCAAGAACTTCATAGCAACTGAAGTATTCAAATTGTTCAGTCTTAAAAAAGAGACAAACCACAAAACAGATTGGCAGAAAATGGTGAAATTTGGAAGAAAGAAAAGAGACCAAGTGGATCATATCCTGGCACAAGAGCTCCATGAGGAGGAGGTGCAGTGAGTGAACTCTGATGAGGACTAGATGTGTGTGAAGATGCAGCTGACTGATGGGATCTGTGAGACCTTGATCAAAGATACTGTGGATGTTCTGAATCAGATCAGTGAAAAACGGGAGAATGCTACTTGTGTGACATCTTGCAAATAAATTGAACACTGAGTGTTAAAAAAAAAAAAACAACTTTAAGAAAAGCTGGTTTTGACTTTGGTAATTTTGGCAACATTATGATAAAATATACCACACGTTAATGAATTGCTACTGAGAACATATGATTGATTAGAGAATCTAAATGAACAGATGATCAAATCAGTGTTTGAATGGATAGGGAAAGAAGGAAAAAAATTCCTTCTTTTTTCTAGGTGAATTGAAAGGTAATTCACTGAGTCTGGTGTGATGGTACGTAATTACAATCCCAGCATTCTGGAAGCCTGAGGCAGGAAGGTCACAGATTCAAACCCAGCTTGGTCAGCTTACCAACTAAGCAAGACTTTGTCTCAAAGTAAAAACTCAGAAGGCCCTGGGTTCAATCTCCAGTATCACCAAAAAAAAAAAAAAAAAAAAAAAAAAGGTAGTTTATTGCCTCAGAAATAGCTGGATAAAGCAGTGGGTTGCAAATGTTTTGACTGTGAGCCTGTTTAAAATGTCCTTATAGGGCCAGGGATATAGCTCAGTGGCACAGTGCCTGCCTAGCAAGCTCGAGGTTGTGAGTTCAATCCTTGATACCAAAAAAAAATTTGTTTATAGCTGAGCATGGTGATGCATGCTAGTAATGTCCCAGCTGTCAGGAGGCTCAGGCAAGTTCCAGGCCAGCGTGGGTTATGTAGTCAGTTCAAGGTCAGCCTGAACTATGTAGTGAGACCTTGTCTCAAAAAAAAAGGTGTGTGTTTGTTTGTTTGTTTTTGCTTATAATCCTGGCCTAATATACAGTATAGATAAAATTTACATATACAGTATAGATAAAATTTACATATACAGTATAGATAAAATAAATTTACCCTTGAAGCAGTATTTACCCTTATATACAATAAATTTTGATAATAATATTCTTTACTGTTTGTTATATTTTTAAAATACTGGTTATGATCCACTAATAGATTTTATGATCAACTAACGGATTCTTTTGTTGTTTGGGGGTTTTTTTGTTTTTTTTTTTTGTCTTTTTGAGACAGGGTCTCGCTATGCAGTTCAGGCTGGCCTTGAGCTCACTTTGTAGCCCAGGCTGTTCTCAAACATGCAACCATCCTCCTGCCTCAGGCTCCTAAGTGCTAGGATTACAGGCATGCGCCACTGCGCCTGGCCAACTAACAGTTTTTTGTTTTGTTTTGCTTTTTGTTGTTTTCTTTTTTTTCAACTAACAGTTTTCAACTAACATTTCTCTAAGGGACCATAAGAAATATTTATTTTTAAACCATATCTTAGATTTAGATATTTTATTTTAAGATGAAAATGTTTTGCCATAATTAAATATTTTAGAACAAGATCTTGACATAGAGGAAACCATTCAAAATAACTAGACACAATTTAAATAGCATTACATAAGAAATGTGTTATATATGTATATATATACATATACATATACATATATATATATATATATATATATACACATACTTTTTTTTTGAGACAAGGTCTCACTCTGTAGTACAGGCTGGCCTTGAACTCACTATGTAGCTTATGCTACCCTCGAACTCACAGCCATCTTCCTGCCTCAGCCTCCTGAGTGCTGGGATTATAGGCATGCACCACCATACCCAGCAAATATTATAAATTTAATTAAATGCTTTTTCAATAAAGAATACATTAAAGCATGCCAGAGCAAAGTTCTTCAAAAATATTTTTTCCTCTGTTTTAAAGGTATATGTACATACTAAGGTTTTCCCCTTCAAAAAGAATAACCTTGGGGGCTGGGGATTTAGCTTAGAGGCACAGCACCTGCCTGGCAAGTGCAAGGTCGTGAGTTCGATTCCCGGTACCGGAAAAACAAAACAAAAAAAAAAACAAAACAAAAAGAATAACCTTTAACCAGTTAAAGTGATTTAGCAGTAACTCATCTTGCTACCACAGAGACTAGTGATATTTTCATACGTAAAAAAGGCAGCATGGGCTCAGTGGTGACATGTGATAGAGCCCTGAGTTTGACCCTTAGCACTGCATAATAAACAGATAAATGGCAGCATGTTTATAGGTAACTTTTCACTGTGACATTAGAGGAAATGTCAGTGATGATTATTCTCTGGAATAATTCTTTTAAATTTTCAATATCTAAATTCCTTTTAAGCTCCGAGTGGTGGTAAAATTCTTAGAATTCTGTATGAAGAAAATGATGAGTCTGAAGTGGAAATTATTCATGTAACATCCCCGATGTTGGAAACGAGGAGGGCGGATTCGTTCCGTTACCCTAAAACAGGTACTGTACTCCATTGGCATTTATATTAGTTCATTTCATTCCAGTAAGGTTATCTCTGCAAGGTATAGTCCATATTGGTCATTTACAGCCTCAGTTTGGATGGTTTGTTGATTAAATCTCACTAAGATGTTAATGGGGTGGTCCTTTTAAATTGATTTTTTTTTGGTCGTTTTAAATTGTATTCAAAGGTGCAGATGCCCACAAAACTGATTACTTCAACAAACAAATAAGTATCCTCTCCACCAGATAAAGATTTTTCAGTGATTTTGTTAGAGTAAATTAATTGTTTTGTGTTTTTCTGTTTGTGGCATATTAACTATAATAATGGTACAGAATTTCCCTTGATTTCAAACTGACCCTTTGTGTTTTTAGTCTTTTTAAAAAAAAATACTCATATTAAAAAGTATGAATTGGAGATGTGGCTGAGATTATTGTGAGATAAAACTCTGACTGTATACGATATTACTGACTTTAACTAAAGTAGAAAGAGGATTGATCTGGCAAAATTAGTTTGAGTAATTTTGAATATACATAACTATTGATTTACATCTTTTTCTAAAGGTACAGCAAATCCAAAAGTCACTTTTAAGATGTCGGAAATAATGATCGATGCCGAAGGAAGGGTAAGTATAGAATGCAGGGCTGATTTCTGTGTCTCCATACCAATGTAATGAGTCTAGGAGGGGTATTTGATAGGCTTTAGGCTTTGGATTCATTGAACTTGCTCAGATATCTGCGTCTCATGATTTTTCTTTTCTTTGTTTTTTTGTTTTTGAGACAGGGTCTCACTATGTGGTTCAGGCTGGCCTTGAACTTACTAGGTAGCCCAGACTGTCCTTGAACTCATGGCAATCCTCCTGCCTCAGCCTCCCGAGTGCTGGGATCTATAAGGCGTGTGCCACCATGCTTGGCAGCTGTGATTTTTGTATTGACTTTGTTTTCTGATTTCAAAACTTTCTGCTGGTTCCCAAGATAAGAATATGGGGGTAGGCATATTTACCACTCCTTTTCCAATAGTTTTTCTTCATTGCTTTTATTAATTTTTTAAGTCAGTGTATCAAAAAAGAAAGGGTGATTGTTGAGTGGTGGCCTATCTTCTCTCTTGGGTAGATGTCTGCAGTGCCCCATTCCTCTTGTACTGTGGTTCTCCATCTGGATGTCAGAGCCTTCTAAGCTGCATGTTCAACAAGATGAGTGAAAAGCAGTCTTCTCTGCTGGAGTTTTTAAAAATTTTTTTGTGATGGTGGTACTGGGGATTGAACCTGGGACTTTGCCCTGAGCTACATCCCCAGCCCTTTTTATATTTTTTATTTTGAGACAGAGTCTCACTGAGTGGCTCAGTTGCCCAGACTGGGCTTCCTTTTTGTCGTCCTCCTGCTGGAGCCTCCCAGAGTGCTGGGATTGCAGGGGTGCGCCACCGCACCCAGCTCTACTAGAATTTTTTTAATATGGCTTTACTGAGATACAGTTTACAGAGAGTAAAGTTTAAAATTCACTGGCTTTTGGTACATTGACAAAATTGAATAACTACAGTCAATTTTGAGAACATTGTTGTCGCTTTAGAAAGAAACCGTACACCGCTTAGCCACCATCTGCTCAATACCCCATATCCCACAGTCCTTGGCAGGCACTAATCTACTTTGTGTTCTGTTTGAACTGTGTCAGTCTCTCCTTCTCTCTGTCTCTGTCTCTGTCTCTCTCTCTCTCTCTCTCTGTTCTGTTTGAACCACGTATCAATAACTTCTCTCTGTCACTCCCCTCACCCCACCCCATACACACTGTGTTTGGTGCTGGGGATTGAACCTCAGGTCCTCCCACGTTCTACCATTCCACTGCTGAGCTACATCTGCAGTCGAAGTACTTCATTCATTTCTATTGCTGAATAAATTTAATTGTATGGAATAACACATTTTATTTATCCATTTATCAGTTGATATTTTTTGGTTGGTTCCCCTTTTCTGCTGTTAGGAATAAAACTGCTTGAATATGTATGTACAGTAGGAGCTTTTCTGTGAGCTCATACTTTCATTTCTTTAGGTAACATACTAGGTGTAGAATTGATGGATCATAAGGTAGCTCTATGTTTAATCTTTTTTGGAACTGCCAAATTGGTTCCATAAATTTCTAATTTCTCTATATCGTCACCAATACTTGTGATTGTCCATCTTATTTATTATAACCATCCTGGTGGGTTTGAAGTGATTTCATTGTAGTTTTGACTTACATTTTCTTAATGGCTAATAATGTTGAACATTTTTTCCTGTGTTTACTAGACACTTAAATATCTTCTTTGGGGAACTGTTCATCATTTTTGAAAAATTACATATTTTAAAAATTATATTTGGTAGACCTTTAAAGGACAAAAGTTTGCTGACCCTGGAACATTACATTTGTATATTGTACTAATACAGGCTAAAATATAGTGGGGAGAAAAGACTTTTTCTTTTTTAGATACTAGATCCTAAAGTGATTAAATCTTGATTATATCAGTTATTTATCAATGGGTCATTTAGTATAAACTCAAAGGAAAAGCCTTTTAGATTGTGCTTATTCTTGGGGTTAGAAGTTTGTTTTGTTTGTAGGAATAATAAGTCCTAGTATATGTAACCTGTGATTTACTTTTGGTTTTTGCCTTTTTAGATACCTCAGTCTAAAGTGCTATACTATTACAGATGATGGCTTAAGTACTCTAATGAGCCACTTATTTTTCTAAATCTATAATGAAATTCCTTTTTTTCCTCTTTAATAGATTATAGATGTCATAGATAAAGAACTGATTCAGCCATTTGAGATTCTGTTTGAAGGAGTTGAGTATATTGCCAGAGCTGGATGGACTCCAGAGGGAAAATAGTGCGTATGTTAAATTGTGATTTCTTTACAGATAATTTAAGACCCAGAGCTTTAGAAATGTCTGTGCTATTAGGTTTGCCTTGGGGTGGGAGCTAGAAATGTAAACTTACAGTATAGCTATTTCTGAATAAGAGACTTTTCCTAAACTAAGTGGACCTATAAGCATATATAATTGCATGTTAGTTCTCTCGCTTAGCCAGTTACGGTTCACAGTGTTAAGGTTAAATTGTGTGACAAAGCTCAAACATAAAATGTGGTATTTTTAAAACTTGTGTAATTTAGGTAGAAATATTTGTAGAGCCTTATGAGTGTATATGTCTAATATAGGTAATAGTAATTTTCTGAGACTGGCATGTATAGACACTAAAGGGAAAAAAAAAGTTTCAAAGGCCAACCGTGATTTGGGAAAGTTAAAGAAAACCACTTTTTAACCTTATTCAAGCTGGACACAGTGGTGTGTGCCTGTTAATGGCAGCTACTTAGGAAGCTGAGGCATGAGGATCACAAGTTCAAGGCCAGGCTGGGCAACTTAGGGAAAGCCTACCTCAAAGTAAAAAAGGGCTCGAGATCTAACTCAGCCCTCAGGATAAGCATCCCTGGGTTTGATTCCCATTATCATAAAACGAGCAACAGCTATGTTAACACCCCCGCAGCCCAGGGCCTCATGCATGTTAGGCAGGTGCTTTCCCTGTGAGCTATACCCTCTCCCCTCAAGCATTACCCACACACACACTGAGGATCTTTGGACTGAGCTAATTCCTTTTAAAAATTTTTATTTATTTTGAGACAAGGTCTCACTAAATTGCCTAGGCTGGGCTCTAACTTGCAATCGTTCTGCCTCAGCCTCCCCAAGTGCCAGGATTACTGGCATACATCACCATGCCTAGCTTCAACTTTTAACTTTTTAAAGTAAGTGTATTTTTAATTAGTTATTTATATGTAATAATTTAGTATATAATGAAGCAAAGCAGTTCTTTCATTGTAATTGTAGAAATAATAGATATCAAAGAAGAAATTTCTTTATTTCTGGTTCTTTTCTTTATTTGTTTAAATAGTGCTTGGTCCATCCTACTAGATCGTTCCCAAACTCGCCTACAGATAGTATTGATCTCGCCTGAATTATTTATCCCAGTAGAGGATGATGCCATGGAGAGACAGAGACTCATCGAATCAGTGCCTGACTCTGTGACACCACTCATTATCTATGAAGAAACCACAGACATCTGGATAAATGTATGGATTTCTTCCTGTACTTGGCTAAATACTTTTCCAGGATCCTAAAGCAAATGAAATTTTATAGCAAACTATCAAAATGCATTTTTCTAAAGTTCAGAGAAACCATGAATGTTATTTTCTTAATTTGAACGTTTCAAATAGGAGCAGTGGCTCCAGAATGGAACACTTGGTAGATGGAAAGTAGACGCCATTGAAGTGGCTCACACGTGCTCCTAGACACAGGCATGGAGCGCGGAGAGCCATCCGCAGCAACTCCTTACTCTGAGAGGACTGGAAGAGCTGGGGTCTAGACGAGACTCTTGTCTTTTAAGGTGGCAAACTACACCAAAATATACAAATTTTTAATTGAATTTAAAATTTTTCCATTTTAGCATGAAAGGTTAAACAAACTACAAAATAAATAAACCCAGCTCACCCTCTAGGTGACTATGGGCTTCATTTGCTTCACCTAATGTCTGTTTTCCCTCAACTGTTAGAATATTTTTCTTTGGAAAACAAAAGTAAAAAATACTGTCCCTCAGTATTCCTGTAGTAAAAGTTGTATCATGAAACAAACCGTGTGCCGTGCTTTCAAGATTACAGAGATGCTGAGTAAGAAAAAGTATTTGGTCATTTTCCTTTCCATTTGGAAACACTTCTCAGTGGAGGAACGCTTTGGCTAAAATGAAATAAACGTGAAAGGCCCCGGCAGGAGTTCTCGTGTTAAACATACCCTCCCCCTAGCACTGACAGCTGTTTATATTTCAAATCTGTGTATCAAGTAATTCTCCCTTCTCTGTCTTGATTGCGTTATCTGTGTGGTGTTTTCATCACTGTGTGTAGTAAGTGAAGCTATTCATTTTGCAGATCCATGACATCTTTCATGTTTTTCCCCAAACTCGTGAAGATGAAATTGAATTTATTTTTGCCTCTGAATGCAAAACAGGTTTCCGTCATTTATATAAAATCACATCCATCTTAAAGGAGAGCAAATATAAACGATCCAGTGGTGGGCTGCCTGCCCCAAGTAAGTTCTTTTATATTTAAAAAAAAGAAAGAAAAGTGTTGGGTACAGAAGGTGGGAGGGACAGGAGAATATAATGTCTCTGTGTTTTTGTAAGCATTAGTACTTGTTTCATTAAATTTTTTGTTTTGGTTTTAGTTTTTGGTTTTTTGAGACAAGGTCTAGCTGTATAGTTCAGGCTGCCCCTGAACTAACTATATAGCTCAGGCTGGCCTTGAACTTGTGGCACTCCTCCTGCCTCAGCCTTCCAAGTGCTGGGATTATAGGCGTGTGCCACTGTGCCCAGCTTCATTAAATTTAACATATATAAGTAATATATAATTTTAATATATAGGTTTATTATTACATATAAATATATGCATGTGTGAAAACAATAAAGTTCTTGTTGGGTATATAATGAACTGTAAATAACGAATAATCTCAGGGAAGTAGAAAGGCTCATTTTTACTGTATACATTTGCCTTGATTGCAGTGAGCCAATGTTATTTTACATTTTAAAATACTACTTTTTTAAAACTATAGAAAGGGGCCAGGTTTAGTGGCGTGGTCCTGTAATCTCAGGACTCTGAGAAGCTGAGACAGGAGGATTGTAAATTCAAGCTCAGCCTGAGCAGTTTGGCAATTTAGCAGGACCCTGTGTCAAAATAAAAAAGGGCTGGACCTGGAGTTCAGTGTGAAGGCTGTGAGTTTGTAACTCAGTAACATGCACGTACACACACAGACACACTGTGTGTGAGAGAGAAAACCAGAAGTAAAAAATGTGAAAGGAGGCTAGGATAAGGCTCAGTGGTAGAAGTGCTTGCCTGGTGTATATGAGGCCCTGGATTCAATCCCAGCGCTACACAACCAATCAGTAAAAACATAAAACAGTATATAATTATTAGCTATTTTTATATACACTAGATGTTTCTTGTGCTGCTTTCTTCATCTACACTAAATTTATAGTTATAGCTCTTCAGATTGACAGAATTATATTATCTAAAGTTAAATTAAATATTGAGTCAGCTGACAATTTCCATTTTAAAAGTGATGGTTAGCTGGGCCAGGTGTGGTAACGCACGCCTGTAATCCTAGCACTCAGGAGGTAGGAAGATAAGAAGATAGCTGTGATTTTGAGGCCAGCCTGGGCTACATAGTGAGACCCTGTCTCAAAAAAAAAAAGCAATAAGTGATGGTTGGCTTTTTGGAACATGTACTGCAGGACGTGTACGTAAGCCTAAAAAAGGTGGGGTGTGTCACTCAGTGGCACCGCACTTGCCAAGCATGCTCGAGGCCCTGGCTTCCGTTCCCAGGACTGCACAAACAAAACAGCACAAAACCAAAGTCAAATGGCACATCAGTTGGTTTTCCCGAGTTTTTCTAAAACCAAGCTACAATCTTTGGCTTTCATAATATAGTTTTAGAATAGTAAACACTTTATAATAGGTAATGTTAAATGCTTAACTGCTGTGTATAACTTCAGATTTAACATGACTTTTAAAAATTTTGGTAAAATGAATATAATATCTACCATTTTAGCCATATTAAGGGTATAATTTAGTAGGCTGTTTGTGTCATATAATGTCACTGTCCATTTCCAGAATTTTTTTGTTTTCTAAAACTGAAACTTCTTATTAAAAATAACTCCCCACTCCCCCAGCCCTTAGTGACCACTTTCTGTCTGTGAATTTTAAATCCCTGGGTATCTCATTTTAAATCCCTGGGTATCTCATTTAAGAAGAGTTGTACAGTATTTTTCTTTTTGTGACTGGCTTATTTCATGTAGTATTATGTCCTTGAGTTTCATCCAGTGACATGTGTCAGAATTTTCTTCCCTTTAAAGGTGGATACTATTTCATGTATGTATATGACCTATTTTATTAATCCAGTGTCTATCAATAGACACCTGGGTTGCTTCCATCTTTGGACTATTGTGAATAATGCTTCTGTGGAAGTGAGTATACAGTTTTTTGTTCCTGTCCTGGCTTTCGGTTCTTTAGGAGATTATATATTCAGAAGTGGAATTTCTGGATTAAACGGTAATTCTGTTTGACTTTTTGAGGAGCTGCCGTGGTGTTTGCCACGGTGGTTGCCCCATTGGTAGGTAATACTGTTGGTAGTAGCCACACTATTTTATTTTCCCACCAGCGGTACACAGAGTTTTAATTTCTTTACATCTTTGACAATTTATTATTTCTGGATTTTTTTTTTAATTTTTTTTTTTTTGGTACAAGGAATCAAACTCAGGACCTTGCACTTGCCAGGCAGTGCACTTCCTATAAGATCCATCCTAGTTAATGAGGCGATTTTAATTTCCTAATGATTAATGTTGTCAAATATCTTTTCATACACTTATTGACAGTTTGTGTGTCTTCTTTGGACAAATGTCTGTTCTAGTCCTTTGCCCATTTTTAATTGGGTTGCTTTTTTATTTAAGGTGGCCTTTTAATTATCATCTATGTTGGGAAGCAATAAACTATATCTTGAGTGTAGCAAAGGTAATACTATCTACGACTCTGCTCCTTTCTTTAGCATAATTGTTTCAAGGCAGACAGGAGCTTACGTATCCAAGATGAGGGTTTTCTTTCTTTAGAGCCTTAGCTTATCCCTGAGTATGAAATTGCTCTTACCAGTTCTTTTATAGTTCAGAAATTAAATGCATGTAGGGATTCCAGAAAGGCTAGTGATAAAGACCAAAGAGCTGTGAAAAGTGGTACACTAACTAAAACAACATTTTTGGAACCATAGTATGAAATTGATGACTTCAAATGTGGTATACCAGTTAAAGAGTGTAAGAGAAGCTGTTCTCTCAGTTAGCATGCTCAGGTCACCAACCCTGTGCTCCCTGTCAGGGTCTGCTGTATCTCTAGGCCCCTCAGATTGTCCGCCTCTTCTCTTATTTCTTTGCTTTTCCTGTTCTTTCTTTAGGGTTTTGTTTTGTTTTTTGGCCATGTTTTCTTCCTTTTCCTTCATTTATGTCTGTGTCATTTCCCTTTTCCGTTTTCCCACCTCTTTTCTTCTTTAAGTGATTAGGTAATCCCAGCACTCTGGAGGAGGCTGAGGCAGGAGGATCACCATGAGTTCTAGACCTGGGCTACCTAGTGAGTTCAAGGCTAGCTTGCACTGTATAGTGAGACCCTGTCTCCAAAACAGACAAACTAAGGTAGTTAGTTGCATTTGTAGAAGACATCCCTTACCAACCAATTTGTGGTGCTTTTGAGTTCGCAGCTTCCCAATCATCTGTTTGGCTGTTTTCATATTGTCTACGTGGGCCATTCTGTCATTATTTCAGAGTATTGCAAAAACTAATAACAAGTTTTTTAAAATTAACTATATACTTTTTAAAATTAAAGTGAAATTTCTATTATTATTGTTTCCATTATTATTAACCATTTTAAAACAAAACAAAACAAAACAAAACAAATAAATAAATAAATAAAACGAGTCAGCCAGGCGTGGTGGCGCATGTCCATAATCCCAGAACTTGGGAGACTGAGGCAGGAGGATCACTGTGAAATCTAGGCCAGCCTGAGCTACAAAGTGAGTTCAAGGTGAGCCTGAACTGCATAGTGAGACCCTGTCTCAAAACAAAATAAATAAATAAACTAATTAATTAATTAATTAAACAACCCAGCTGTGCCTGGTGGCAGAGGTCTTTAATCCCAGCACTCTAGGAGGTTGAGGCAGGAAGATTATGAGTGTCAGCCCAGCCTAGGTAATTTAGGAATTTAGTGAGACCCTGACTCAAAAATAAGGCCCTGGGTTCAACACCCAGTACCACAGGTGGGCGGGTGGGTGGATGGATGGATGGGTGGATGGATAGATAGCAATTCAGTGTCGCATAGTACTTCACAGTGTTACACAACCATCTCCGCTGTCTAAAACATTCAGTTCCAAAACATTTTCATTACTGCAAATATAATTTAGTGGGTTTTTTTTTTTATGCAGCTTTTTGGCAAAAACACTTTTTAGAACACTATTCTATACTGTTTCATTTGCTAATAGTCTGGTATACAGTACTAAATTCTAACTGTATTTATCTCTAGGTGATTTCAAGTGTCCTATCAAAGAGGAAATCGCGATTACCAGTGGTGAATGGGAAGTTCTCGGTCGGCATGGATCTAATGTATGTCCTTCTATTCTGCTCAGGTTTGGTCAGGATCTGCTGTGTGAATATAGTACTGAAAATCAGCAGTGCAACTTCATATGACCTCAGTGTTTTACAAATATTAATTTAGGCCCTAAAAGAACTCAAGTTGTTGGAAGAATCTTAATTTAAATTTTAAATTTCATTGTTTAAATAAGCCTAGTGCTGTGATTACTAAAGGTCACTATTCTCAAGTGAAAGTGAGGAATTAGGATATAATTTGAAAGTTAGTTTAAATCTGTTACAAATTACTTGTGTTATTTCTGCATTACAAATTTCATTTATTCAGAGCACATGATTCTTTTATTCACCTGGTTGTTTGGGGGTTTTTTTTTGTTTTTTTGTTTTTTGTCTTTTTGAGGCAGGGTCTCACTATACAGTTCAGGCTGGCCTTGAGCTCACTTTGTAGCTCAGGCTGGTCTTGAACTTGCAACGATCCTCCTGCCTCAGCCTCCCAAGTACTGGGATTACAGGTGCTGGGATTATAGGCATGTGCCACCATACCCCGGCTCATTCACCTGTTTATTTTGTCTCACAGATTTAAACGTTTATCCACCACCTACAAATAGGGGTGGGCATAGACAGAGCTTAGATTGAGAAGAAGAGGGAAGTCTACCCTCTGTTTTGCCCTAAGCAAGTGGCTTTCTATAGTAATTCAGTGGCTTGTTTCACTTTTCAAGGCACCTTTCATGTGCTCCAGTTTTAAATTAGGTGACCAGTTTCTTAGTTCTCTAAAACTTCATTCTTTCTCTGCTTGACTTACAGTTAAATTGATGTATTCTACCAGGATTAAGTAAAGCTTCAGTTTGAATTTTTCAGATTGATAGAGATTTACAGGCTGAGTATTTTGTACAGTGGCTATGTAGAAATCAGTGTAATCCCTAAGGTGATTCAAGAGAAAGAGTGAAGATCCCCATCCCGTATTAGTTTTTATTAGTAAAAACTTCAGAGTATCATAGGCAACCTATAAAATCTCATGCCAGTGAGAGCCTCACATGACCACATATAAAGTTTTATATTTGTATATTTATTTCTGTTTAGGGACTTTGAATACTACTGTCACCAGAGAAAAAAAGTCTTGTCAAATTCTAGGTTCTAATAACAGAAAATTTCACTGATCTGTGTGGATCTGACCCTTTTTCAAGCGACCTAAACGGCTCTCCACTATTTGCCACTACATGTGTCAGTTTTCCTGATGTTGCGCTTATTTATGTGATATATTTTTCTCCCTTCCTCTTCTATTTTCCCTGTGTTCTTCTTTTGTTTTTTGTCTTTAATTTGCCTATTTCCTTTTTGCTTTTAGAAGTGACCTTGTCCACACTCAAGGATTTCTAATGGCAATAATTGGGCAGGAAGCTTTGAGACTTCAGTTTATGTGCCTCTTACTCTTGGTGTTTCTCAAAGTGTGCTTCTGGGCCAGCAGCAAAAGCTCAGCAGCACCTTGGAACCTGGTAGAAATGCATAGTCTGGGGCCCGTCTCAGATCTCCTGAATCACAAACTCTGGTGACAGGACCCAAGTGTCTGTTCACCAAGCCCCAGAGATTCTAATGCTGGTGAACATAAGTAATGATGCGAAGAAAAAAAAAAGTACCATTGTAAATGGGAGTGACAAGCTTACTGGTTATTTCTTAAACTCTGGAAGGCCGACTCCCGGCTGATGAAGAGCAGAACTAGTCCTATCTTGGAGAGATTAGCATATAACTGTAAAGATTCTCAAACTTTTTATTACATATAGCAGCTGTGTTAATTTAAGTATTTATGTGTCCAGAAAAATATATAAAATGATGAAAATGTTTCCTGTAAAAAAAGATGTTTGGGGCCGGGGATGTAGCTCAGTGGCACAGCGCCTGCCTGGCAAGCACAAGGTCCTGAGTTTGATTGCCGGTACCAAAAAAAATAAAATAGGGGCTGGGGATTTAGCTCAGCGGCACAGTGCCTGCCTGGCAAGCGCAAGGTCGTGAGTTCGATTCCTGGTACCAGAAAAAAAACAAAAAAAATAAATAAATAAAAATAAATAAATAAATAAAATAAAAAATTAAAAACACTTGCTTTTGAAATGTATCTGTGTTATCTTTGCTATGTAAAAAATTTTGAGTTTTATCAAACGTTGAGTAGGCTGGTAGAGAAATTTTTAAAGCAACAATAAAAAAAAACCATTTGTTTATTGCTATAACTTGACAAGAATATTAAGTGAGTTCTGCTGTGAGTTTACTAGCAATTTTTTTGAGATCTGAATGATTACTTAAAAGATTATACACAGCTGGAGATATAGCTGAATGGTAAAGCACTTATCTAGCATGTCAATTTTGTTGTTGTTTTGGCAGATTCAGGTTGATGAAGTCAGAAGACTGGTGTATTTTGAAGGCACCAAAGACTCCCCATTAGAACACCACCTGTATGTGGTCAGCTACGTAAACCCTGGAGAGGTGACGAGACTAACCGACCGTGGCTATTCCCACTCCTGCTGCATCAGCCAGGTATTAAGTCCCTGTTTGAAAAGGGCTTCTTCTCATGTAGAAACCCTCCACCTGTGTAAGACTCCTTTTGATTGATGTGAAAATTGTGAAGTCGGCAGCAGAGGCCTCCCTAGGAGCTTTAAAGTGCTTACCCCTAACTTGGGCCTTGTGTGTGTCAATAGGCAAACCCTTGTTTTACTCTGATAACATTAGTGCAGATGTAACAGCAAATAACCTTTCTGACTTTTTGCTAAAGGAAAACGTAATTGTTTCTCTTTCTTCTAGCATTGTGACTTTTTTATAAGTAAATATAGTAACCAGAAGAATCCACACTGTGTGTCTCTTTATAAACTGTCAAACTCTGAGGATGACCCAACTTGCAAAACAAAGGAATTTTGGGCCACCATTTTGGATTCAGCAGGTACTCTTATTCCCTGAACCTGACCTTAAATAGGATCAGTACAGGGCTGGGGATGTAGCTCAGTGATAGAGCACTTGCCTCAGGGTGTACAGGCCCTAGGTTCAATCCCCAGCACTCCAAATAACAGACAATTAATGCACTCAACCCATGAAATAGGTGCACTTTTTCTAGACAAAGTCTTCCCATCTCTCAGCCCTCCCATGAGCTTCTGCTTGGCACCCCCCACCCCTGCCCTGCCACCCCATAGCTGCTGAGTGAGATGGGTTACTTCTCACTCTGAGCAGGAGCAGGTCTGGAAGGCCGTTGGGAAATAAGGTCAACATAATGTATTCTGAGGTAGGAAGAGCCTTTGAACAGGGAAGCAGCAGCTTTAGGGAATAACCAGCTGACAGTCTTCCTTAAGTTCTGAAGTACTTGCAGAGGCTGTTGTAATAAAAGACGGAACACTTGCTCTGTGTGGAAGTGAATAGCACCACGCATCCGCTTGCTTATTTACTTACTACTAGGGATTGAACTCAGAAGGTTGAGCTGTATCCTCAGCCCTTTTCATATTTTATTTTGAGACATACTGTCACTATATTGCCCAGGTTGGCTTTGAACTCATGGTGTGATCCTCTTGCCTCAGCCTTCCGAGTGCTGGGCTTACAGCCATTTGCCACCGTGCCTATATTTTCTGTTGAATTTCATGCTTATCTCACCTGAAAAAGGTTTGTCACTTTTATGTGGAGTTCTGGGTTTTGATGTTTTCTTCCTTGCTCTGGGTTTATAGGGCTCCCTTGAGAATATTTACAGACTTTGTATGTTACCACTCACAGGTCCTCTTCCTGACTATACTCCCCCAGAAATTTTCTCTTTTGAAAGTACTACTGGATTTACATTGTATGGGATGCTGTACAAGCCTCATGATCTACAACCTGGAAAGAAGTACCCCACCGTGCTCTTCATATATGGTGGTCCTCAGGTGGGTTATAAATACATATAAATACACATACATAAATAATTCTGGGTGATTCTAGGTCTGGTCAGTTATTCACGACAAGAATTTTAAGCCAGCCAGGTGTGGTGGCACACACCTGTGATACCAGCATTCAGGAGCCTGAAGCCAGGGAATCACAAGTTTGAGGCCGTCCTGGGCTACATAGTGAATTCAGGGCCAGCCTTCACTACAAAGTGAGACCTTGTCTTTAAAAAAAAGAATTTCAAGCAGTGTCGTGCTTTTGCTGTTCTCAGCTTTTCTAATTATCCAGTTATGACGTTCAGAAAGCTTGATATTTAAATTTAGATGGCTAATTTTTTACTTTATAGTCACAACTGTAACTATTGGGGAAGTGGAATATTCATGTCAGTGGGTAAATAAATTGCTTCCTATGTAGAGAAATGTGTTTGGAAAATAAAACTGAATAGTTAAATGTCTTGGTCAATAAAAACAGTCTTATATTTTCAGAAAGCCTAGCCTTGGTAGTCTAGCAAATTCCCCTTTCATTCTAAGTCTCATCTCTCAAGCAAACTAGAATACTTTTATCAGCTAGTGATAACAACTACTATACTACTTAGTACTCTCAGAAGTTTGCACCTTGAGTTTCCATTTTCTGGATTAAATATTAGCATGTGAGTGTTAAGTAAATGCTATTCACTAAGGAAGTATAGTACTCTGGGTAGATAAATTGGTTAATTTTTTTAAATGTTTGCCCTTGATCATATTATAGTAGTACCTTGGTTCAGGAACTTAATTGGTTCCACACCTCTGGAAAAGACCATGTTTGTGTTCATGTGGGAAAGATGGCCAGAGTCATATTCATCACCTGATGTGGAGTTCATAAACAAAAACAAAATTTTGCCAAATGCTTCTGTTTGCGAACCAAATTATTCACAGACAAAAGCATTTGTGGAGCTGGGAATTTAGCTCAGTGGTGCAGCGCCCACCTGGCAAGTATGAGGTCTTAAGTTCAATACCCACCCACCCCCACAAAAAAAAACAAAGCAGGGGGCTGCGGATTTAACTCAGCAGCACAGCACCTGCCTGGCAAGCGCAATGTCGTGAGTTTGATTCCTGGTACCGGAAAGCAAACAAACAACAAAAACAAAGCATTCGTGAACCTGGGTGCACCACTTTATCTTGCACAAAGGCTTAAGGAAATGAGACTGTAATTACAGTGTTTCATAGTGCAAGTCTTAGGCTCAGTGGCATCTCTTATAAGTATGAGCAGTTATTTAATATCTGAAAATGTATCAAAACGTGAAGTTATACAAAATGTAAAAAGTAAAATATATAAACTATGAAATCTCAAGGATGATGATCAGGTATTGAATTAACTTTACTATCATTGAGTACGTTTTACAGCCAGTACATTATTCATGCTGGGCATAATGGTGTACACCTGTAATCCCAGCTGCTCTGAAAGCTGAGGCAGGAGGATAGCAAGTTTGAGCCCAGCCTGGACAGCTTAGTGAGATCCTGTCTGAAATGAAAAAAAGGCTGGGGATGTAGCTTGGTAATAGACCTAGTGCTCTTGGGTTTGATCCCCAGTATCTTTTTTAAAATTACATTTAAAGACACAAATATTAAAAATGTAAACTTTGTACTTTTTGCAGTGCCCCATCTTGTGGATTGTATGCTCCCATGTGATACATTCCCTGACTTTTTTTTCTTCTTCAGGTGCAATTGGTGAATAATCGATTTAAAGGAGTCAAGTATTTCCGCTTGAATACCCTAGCCTCTCTGGGTTATGTGGTTGTGGTGATAGACAACAGGGGATCCTGTCACCGGGGGCTAAAATTTGAAGGCGCCTTTAAGTATAAAATGGTGTGTGAACATAAAAACACTTTTAAAGACATTTACACTTTCTCGTTCATTGTTTGGTGTGAAATCCAAAGACAGACTTAGGTGTTGTGAGCGTGGGTGGATGCGTACATGTGTGTTAGCGTGTGGGGTGGGAGGGAAGGTACAATCCGATGTGCCCTAGGCTGGCTCACGTTTGCTTTTATGTAACACTGGGGTGCGGAGGGAGAGCCCCTCCCGTGTCTCTGTGACCACCTCAGCCAGGAGGCAGCACTGTTCAGTTTTTGGCATCCTGTACACTGCTGAGGAGTCACTGAGATTTGTTCTGTCCTCTGTGAAGAGGGAAACCAACTGGTTAGTGCCTTCCTTGTGACAAGCCTCTTTCTCTCTACAGGAAGCTTTAAATGCTACCTTTTAGAGATGCCCCATGTCCTTTCTGCTGCTTTGGGAAATGATGACAATCCGATGTTCCTTTTGCACAGTAAAGCACTTACTGTGTTTGCCAGTGTATTGGACATGCTGAGTAAGACATGGGGATTTTCTCCCACAGCCAATTCTTTGACCTTATGTTGTATTCTCATGTAAGTTTTTTTGTTTTAATTTTTGTTTTTTGCTCAGTGAAGTGAGATTGTATGCACTGGCAGGCCAAGTAATATAGACAGGTGGCAGCGGTCGGAATGAAGACTTAATAGGGCTTTGAAGAGAGAACACATTTAGTTCCTTCTCGAGGTATCGTGGGAAGCAGGAATGTAGGACCTCAGGTGATTCCCTCTGCTTTACTGCACTAAGTATTAGGGAGCAGTGAAGTTAATCAGTCTCTGAGGGGGGCTGATTTTTTGCCTTTGGGTACAGGGAAGGCTTGTTACAAGGAAGACGCTGGCCTCTTAGCAGACAACAGAACAAATGGAAATGGGAAATACCCAAGAGTGAGGAAAGGGCTTTAGGACTAAGTGGTGGCTAAACTCTAGGAAGCCTCACAGTAGAAGCCTCTATCTCTAAATAGAGTTTTTTAAAAAAATTTCCTAGAGGGTACCAGAATCTCAGTTGTTAATGAATTCTAACCTGAAAAAACCCTTCAGGTATTTTTAGTGAAAACACTTATCAACTTTAAAAGCACTCTTACAGTGAGACCTTTATGCCTCAGAATCAGTAAAGTCTTCTTCCTCTCTTGGCAGGGCCAAATAGAAATTGACGATCAAGTGGAAGGGCTCCAGTATCTAGCCTCTCGGTATGACTTCATTGACTTGGATCGAGTGGGCATCCACGGCTGGTCCTATGGCGGATACCTCTCCCTGATGGCATTAATGCAGAGGTCCGATATCTTCAGGGTATGTGACTTTCTGTTTTACTCAACTTTGTAAATAATGGTAGACATGCAGAAAATTTACTTCTGAATGTTTACAGAATTGGCCGAATTACAGTATGTGAGGGTCTGCATGTTGAATGGCCACGTGAGATACGTATTTCCATTGTTAGTGTAATTTCTTTAAGTACTTGCCAACTTGATGACCGGTTCTGGGCCATTTTTAGACAGCCAGAAACTGTGGTGGAGAGTTGTGATTATAAACACATACATATGTATAATGGATTATAATTACTTTATTTTGGACTGCAGGTCTGCTGGCAGGAACCTCTGCCATATACAACACTCTGTCCTCAGCAGCCAGGCACAACACTTGGCACATAGCAGGCCCTCAGTAAATCTGTGTTGAATACAAGTTCTTGGGTTCCACCCCATTGTTGAAAGGGGGAGAAAACTGTCAAGTGAATGAATGATTAAATAATGAAATCCTTACAGTTCTGTAAACTCTTGGTATATATTGGAGAAAGTACTTAAAAGATGTTAATAGTTGTTAAGAGAGTAGGAAATGTGGGCAGTGTTTTTCTTTTTTCATATTTTAATATTTTATTCTACAGTGAAAAGTAATTTTTGAGAATAAAAATGATTAAAAAAATAAAAATGATGAGTTTTTGTTCTTGCCTATATATTTAGAGAATCTTTGTAATAACTACAGATGGACTCTGAAAAGTGCCATAATTTATTTAAATATAAAATTTTTGAGCCTTAAGATTAAGAAGTAAATTTTTAGTACTTAAATATAGTTCAGGGGCTGGAGATTTAGCTCAGCGGCAAAAGCGCCTGCCTGGCAAGCGCAAGGTCGTGAGTTCGGTTCCCGGTACCGGAGAAAAACCAAAAAAAAAATATATATATATAGTTCATTCATTGTTTTAAATTCTGTACTATCACTGGATATGGTGGTGCACACCTGTAATCCCAGCACTCAGGAAGCTGAGGCAGGAGATTGCTGTGAATTCAAGGCAAGCCTGGGCTATATAGAGAGTTCAGGACCATCCTGAACTATACAGTGAGACCCTGTCTCAAAAAAACCAATTAATTAATTAATTAATTCTGTACTGCCACAGGGCATGGTAGTATATGCCTATAATTCTAGCGTTCTCTGGGAGGCTGAGGCAGGCAGATTAGATGTTTGGGCCCACCCTAAGCAATTTAAGAAGACCCTGTCTCAAAATAAGAAAGAGGGGAAGAAGGGGGAGGATATAGCTCAGTGAGAAAGCTTTGGATTCCATCCTCAATACTGCCAAAAAAAAATCTGTACTACTAACAAAAGCTTAAAAAAAAAAATGGCTGTTTTCCCTATAAGAAGTTGACAGTTACGCTTTTTCTCTCTAGTAGCATGGATGAGTTTACACTAGAGTATTTCTAAAGTATTTGTATTCTCTAGGTCATTCTCCCCTTTTAATAAAGGGATGCATGGCTTGTATTTCATTTGGCCCAGGGTAAGACTTTGGTATGTGGCATGCCTGTGGAACATGAAACTCACTGACTCACAAAGTATCAAATGTGTGACCTTGGCAGCTAGCTGAGTTTCTGTCTCATGAGACCATGTATGCCCAGTAGTGGCGCTAACCCTGAGGATAATTTTAACCTGTGAATGTGCAGTTGTAAGTTCTCCTTGCTAGCTGCTCTTCTGGAACAGCTGCCTATTAAATGTTGTCTTATGCAGGTTGCTATTGCCGGAGCCCCAGTCACTCTGTGGATCTTCTATGATACAGGATACACGGAACGTTATATGGGTCACCCTGACCAGAATGAGCAGGGCTATTACCTAGGCTCTGTGGCCATGCAGGCGGAAAAGTTCCCCTCTGAGTAAGTTTGAGCTAAAAAATTAATGTTATCAATTTTAAATTGTATCTTTAAAAGTCATTAGTAACGAAAATTCAAATACTGAAAACTTAGATTAATGTTTTATAGAATACTAGAATGGCATGGCAGTTTCTCAAAGCTAAATTGAAGACCATTCATACTGATTTTTGTTGTTTTTACAAGTGCTTTTTCTAGAAGCATGGTATAATTATTGATATGTTCTAATATTTTAATAAGAAATCTAATACACAGTCTTTCATTTTTCATTGCAGGGGTTTGGGGTTAATATATTTCAAGTTTAGTACTGAAAATGTTAAATCCTTATTTTAATATTATACTATAAAAAGTTAATATCATTAAGTGTGATTAGTATAAAAGAATGGTTTTCCTTAATACTGTAATATTTTGCTTAACCCTCTGATATTTCTCTTTCTCCAGACCAAATCGTTTACTACTCTTACATGGGTTCTTGGATGAGAACGTCCATTTTGCACACACCAGTATATTACTGAGTTTTTTAGTGAGGGCGGGGAAGCCATATGATTTACAGGTGAGTTATCTGTGTGTTCAGATTAAATGCAGTAGTGACTAGTGATTGATTACTTTGAAATCTAGCAAAATAAAGAATTAGGACAGATTTCCCTGTTTAAGAGAACTAAGATTATAGGCACAGCCTGTAAAAATGGAATAAAAACTCAGCCCCTGCTAAACCTGGCTGGGACCTGGCCTGTGGGACTCCATGCCTGCGTCTCTGCCTGGGGACTGTGAGCGGGGAAGTGGCGGCGGTGGTGGGCTGTCTGCTCACTGTCCTCCGTAGCTTTTCTTTCTCCCCTTGGAAGGGATGGAAATGCTGTTTGATTTCATTGTTCTAAAAAGATTTGTAAAACTCGATTACATGGTTTTTAATTTTCTTTTACATTGCCATTGGTGCAGAAACTAGAATACCATCTTCCATTGTTCCCTTTCAGAAAGAGAGAGAGAGAGTGAAAGTTCTTCCAGGCTGGGGATGTAGCTCACTGGCACAGCACCTGCTTGGCAAGTGCAAGGTCCTGAGTTCAATCCCCAGTACAAAAAAAAAGAACAGTTCTTCGTTTCTGTTATTTAAAAAGATTATGTGCTCATGAAAAATAAAAAAACTTTTATTACATTTGCCTTTTTTATATTTTAGTTGACATTTCTGTTAAGTTAAACTGAGATATTTGTCCATAGCAGTAATTTTCAAGGTTTTTGGTCTCAGGGCTGGGGATATAGCTGAGCAGCACAAGTGCCTGCCTGGCAAGCTCAAGGTTCTGAGTTTGATTCCCAGTATCAAAAAAAAAAAAGATTTTTGGTCTCAGGACCCCTTTATATACCAAAGAGCTTTTTGTATGTGGATTATGTCTATTGGTATTTCTCACCAGGTGTGTTGTCAAATACCTGTTGTCCCATTTATTAATTAAGGAGGCCAAGGCAGGAGGATCACTTGTACCCACAAGTTGAAGACTAATGTAGGTGGGCTGGGGATGTAGCTCAGTGGCACAAGCACCTTCCTGGCAAGCGCAAGGTTCTAAGTTCAATTCCCAGTATCAAAAAAAAAAAGTCAAAACAAGACTAATGTAGGCAACATAGCGAGACCCCATCTCAAAAGGCTCATGTAAGCTACTAAAGTTGAGAAACATTTTAAAGATTGCCAGGCATATTGGCGTGCATTTGTAATCCCAGCTACTTGGGAGGTGGTGGCAGGAGAATTAGGAGTTTGAGGCTACCATGGATTACACTGTAGGACTCTGATTCAAAAAGGAAAAAAAACTTAAATATTGATTTAAAATAACAATAAGAAATTATTACCTATTAACAGAATTACAGAAAAAACTGTATAACAGAACAAGTACTATTGCCAGGCATGGTGGCTTACACCTGTAATCCCAGCACTCAGGAGGCTGAGGCAGGAGGATCGCTGTGAGTTCAACACCAGCCCGAAGTGCATAGTGAAACCCTGTCTCAAAAAGACAAAAAAAAAAAAAAAGGAATACTATTAACAGAAAATGACATTATTTTACTTTTGTAAATCTCCTACAAAAAAGGTATGTGACTGGCTAGTAGAAGGCCCTTGAATCCTTAATATCTTCTCCTGCATTCAACCTTTGTGATATGTTGTTTTTGCTAAAGTATTTGAAGAACGATTTGGCCTCACAGAATATATAGTTAAGAAATGGGAGGAATTTTTTTTTTAGTCTTTTCAGATAATCATGGGCATTCTTCGCTATTACTCCAAAACTAGACAAGTGATACTTTCTTAAAGCTTAATTTTTGTGAAGTCTGAAGCCATATCTATCAACTGTTTAGACATTAAATATTTATTAAATTTTCTACATCAAATAGGTCTTTTTTACCCTTCTGAAAAATACGGGTTCACACTGTCATGTCAGTTTTTCAAATGTTGACTGTTCATTATGTAATATTGTTTAAGTTCTGTACAATGATATCATCAGTGATACCATCAGAAAGGTAAGGATGAGAAAGCTTATTGGTTAATAGCAGTAGATGCAAGTGCTCCAAATTTGAATTTTTATTCGGAAGCTCAGATAGTATCATTAACAAACAGAAACTATTGGGTCTCTGAAGTGACCAGCTTCCTTCGCTCATTTTTGAGAAAATGTTCACCACATACCACAGTGTGAGTAATCACAGTTGTCAGTCATTCTTTGAGGAAGAGGACCGAATACCATGGATCCAGCAGTTCAGCTTGCACTTGGCCACATGCATGCTGCCCCTGGGGATGCGTTGCTGTGGCACTTGTGTGTTGTCTCCCAGTGCGACACCAGAGTTCCACTCCAGAGTTACCACTTTCTAAGATTCCTGATTTTTACTGCTCCTTCAGTGAAACTGGCATTTTTCTTTCTTACTGCCAGTGTGTGGTAGTGAAGAAGGCCGTGGCTTCTTTACGCTTCGGTGTCACTGCCTTCATTCTCTCACCATTGCGTCGTCTTGCAGTGTGGTGAATAAAGCGAATATAATGGTGAGTGAAGGCAAATGATGTCTTGGTATTGTTCTGAATGGCCTGAGATACCTCTTGAAAGAGTTCCTGAAGACGCTTCAAAGTCTGCAGACCACACTTGAACAGTGAACTGTTGGTGTACAGAAAGGTCCTCCGTGAAGCCCCGTGGGTCGGGATGTGAGGAGTGGCAGGAAGAGGATGGGGCCTTTAGGTAGGGCGGTGTGTAATACCTTGGAGAGGCTGTGCTCTGTGTTATGAAGCTTATTTAAAAATCTCCAGAAAGCTTTGGAAGGACGTGTGCTATTAAATTCTTTCTTTTTTCCTTTCATATTTTACTTCATGTTAAGATCTATCCTCAGGAGAGACACAGCATCAGAGTTCCTGAATCTGGAGAACATTATGAACTGCATCTTTTGCACTACCTTCAAGAAAACCTTGGATCACATATTGCTGCTCTGAAAGTGATATAACTGTGTCCTGTGTAGAACTCTGGTATACACTGGCTGGTAACCAAATGAGGAAGTTTAGGTGACAGAGAATACGGAATCAATCATCACATTTTGGTACCTGCCACATAACATCTTCTGAAAGTGAATCTGGTGCCATGTAGGCATCTACAGCTTATGAATAGTAATCTTACACCTTACACACACACACACACACACACACACACATATGAGTGATACCGATTCCTGAGGGATCCAGCAGTACCATGAGAATAACTGAGAGAAATAAGACATTAGCACCACATGTCCATACTCCCTATTTTCACTTTTTAATAGCATTATAAACCTCATGGACCTAATTAGTGTATTTTTACAGCATATTTCTGAGTTTGTTCAAATATGATATTAGTGATTGGTTTGGTTCATTTCCAGAATCTCTGGACTAGTTACAGATCTGATAGCACTTACATGTAATGAATAGCTTGTGCTTCATTGCTCGGGATATATCCAGCATGTTGAGACTAATCGCCGTTAACCCTTCAACTTAACCAGTGAATGACTTTTCAAGGGTAATTCAATGGCCTCCTAAAGATACCTACTTTGGCTCTGACCAGTTTTTAGCCAATTTAAATTGTATCTAGTATAAATACTTCTCACTTTTCTTTGATGATATGACAGAGTGTGTTTTTTTCCTTTCTCATAAGGCAAGTGACTGTATATGTAGCATGGATTTTAATTAGTCTTACAATGTTGATAATTACAGGCAAGAAAAATTTAATCAGATGATTAGAGACCTTAAATATTTGCAGGCAAGTATCCCCCTCACCCTCACCCTTTAGAAAAAGAAAAAAGTATAGATATACTCAAATTCAGCAAATGTAGGGCCAGTTTTCACCTGGTATTTCCTTACTAAAACGCTGCAGTGTTTTGGGGAGGTGGAAGAGAGTCACGGTGGGATGGGGAGACCAGGTGGAAGGAGTGAGAGAGAGGAGGTGGCAAGGGTCTGCTGAAGAACCAGGCAGAAGTATTGTCAACAAAAACAGGACACACATCGGGGAGGTGAAATTTAAACTCCTAGGACGTTGGTTAAGGAGACCAGAATTAAATAACTCCTTTAACCCAGCTGCAGACCAGCATGATTCAGGGGGATAAAGTTCCATAGAGTTATAATTCTAATTTTTAAGGGTTTTTTTTTCCCATAAATTTTTGAAACCTCACATATTTAAACTTCATCCTTATTAAATTTTTGAACATAATTTAGGTATTGTGAAGTAGAAGTAAAAAGGTTTTCAGCAATCTCTTCACGATAAACTAATCCCTGGCAACCCTGGCTCTTTTTCCGTGTTTAAAGCCATCTCGGATGGCCGTGACATTTCCCTGATTTGGCCCTTGCACTTGACTGTGAAAGGAGTCCCTCGATTTCAAGCACCAGTTGAGATCTGCCCTGGCAGAGCCTTCAGGTCCTCTCAGAGCCAGGGGCAGGGAAGGTGGCTCTGGGTTTGACCCTTTTATCGCAAGCTTCAGTGTTCAGAACTCATTACCAGTACCTTTAAACCACACTCAGAACAGCAGCTCGGCTTGTTTCTCCCCACTCAGAGGCCGCTTGTCCCACAGAGAGCACAGTCTGTCGGTAACGGGACAGTGACTGCGTCACAGCCAGAAGCAGGGTGGAGGCGCTCCAGACATGGGAGGGTGCCCTGGTGCTCTGTCCCTGGGAAGTGGGGGATTGGGTTTGCTGGCTGTGTATTTATACTGTATAATAGGTTCCACAGTTGTCTTTGTTGTCTGTATATGTATTGATTTTCATGTTGATGGTATTTTCTCATGCCAAGATTTGTTTATATTTTTTCAATGTTAAATTAAATTGATTTGGGTAACTTTTCTTCCCCAAGAAAGTATTTTCCCTCATGACTTAAGTAGATATGTGACTGCTGAGGGTGGCATTGTTTGGATTAGTTGGCCTCCAGGGATCTATTCTTACATGAATTATATGCCAAGTAGAAATGCTATAAAGTAGCTTTTAGACAGTTACTCATTGGAAGGGTCTTACCCATTAAGGTTTTCTTCAGTAGAGCATCTCTTAGGGGTTATCAAAACAAACCTTAGTTAGTATCATACCCTTTTAATTCACAGGTGCTTCTCTTTTGCATCTTGTCTTCTTTCCTCCTGTCACCAGAGGTATTCCTTTTATAATTCCCAGTTGCTTAAATACTGTTCTACTTCTCCAGGGGAGAAACGCCTGACTGAATTCACCTGCAAAAAGGTGTCCTAATTTGCTTTGTACAACCAGAGCAGAAAGCATAGGCAGCTGATACAGTCAGTGGAACTCAAAGGAGAATTGCTTGTACCCTGACTATGGGTAACAGTGTAAAAGGCAAGAGATACAAAAGTAGCCGAAAAAGCACTAGGTTAAACAGCAAACTGGATTTATAGGTTTCATAAATGTAGTCGAACAACCATCAACAAATACAGTTACTGACCTTGGAGAGCAGTGAAACTCACAATCTGAAACTCATCTGGGATGTTTACTGAAAGAAATGCAGCGTGGAACCTAGTACTCTTAGAAGCCTGGGTTCCGTTGATTTGGAGTAGACTAGAAAATTGCATTTCTTTTTTTTCTTAATTTTTATTGGTCCACGTTTGATATACACAGTAGTCACATTCATCATAGGGAATTTGTGCCTGAACATATCTTGATTCTTCTTTTTTTCCCCCCACTCCCTTTCCCTCCCTTCACCCTGCCTTTCCTTCCCTTTTACAAAGGCTTTGGGAAATTGCATTTATAATGCGCTCTTCAGTAATTCGAAATCAGGTGTCTTGTGGAGTAGTTTAAGAAACCCTTCCTTAGAGAATGGAGTTTGAGTAAGAAAATAATAGGTGACTTTTACACTGAACTGATTTCATAAGAACCTAAAACAATAGTCAAGAAAGCCATTGGCTTGGCCCCTTCTCACTCTGAAAGCAGCAGGAGGTGTTAACATGGGAACCCCGTTGTCTGCAGTTCATCTTGGAAGGAAGCTTTTCCCTCTGGGCCATTCCTGGCTCCTTTCCAAAGCCTCCCAGGAGAAGGTGAAGTCACAATATATGAATTACCTTTTAAAAGACTAAGTATAGATACTGATGCTAACTTTTTAAATTACGTGTATTCCTTACAAAAGATATATCCCACTTTTCTATAACATTGCTCTCTCTTCAGGGGTAGAATGATCCCAATAAAATCTCTCATTACTAAAGAATCATGTTTTCAAGCTGGAGTAAGTCTTTATGTGATCTAATGTTCTCCTTTGCTAGAGGAGGGCTCTGCATAGTGGAGAGAGGAGGGAGCAGACCTGCGCTCATGCCGCCAGGGAGTGTGCAGCTGGTACCAGGCTCTCCAGACGTCCTGCAGCATGCTGACGGAATGATACATAGAGAGGGCAGATTTAAAAGAAGTATTTATTAATATATTCCTGTAAAACATTTTAAAGGTAACCACATAAAATGGTTAATTTTTCCATTCTAAAGTAAATGCTAAGCATGCTTATTAATGAAGCAGTACTTCTAATTAGTATATTCTGAAGTTAATTAAAATCGTTACACTAAACATGGGGGATTGGGGAATTGGGATATAGAGTAGAGCCTTAAACGCAGGAGCCCACCTTAGAGCTATTTTATATATTTTTTAAAAAGGGCCATGGCCGTATTTAAACTAGGAGAGGTAATGTGTGTGCCCTTTCCCAGCAGCGAGAGGAAGGAGGAAACTTCCCTGACTCCCAGCCGAACCTGTCCGCCTTCCAGCCCAGTGCCTGTGAGTAAGAGGTGCTGGGCTCTAGGTAATAGCTTCACAAGTCCCTCTGAGAGCGAGAAAAGTCTTGTTTGTATGTTTGTTTTTAAACAACCCCAATACACGTTTGTGTTGTGTTCAGCAAAATTGGAGTTGAGGTCTTTCATTCTGGAGCATAAGTGCCTGCTGTTCGAAGCACTGACTTGTACAAATGAATTGCATGTCTCAGTCCAGTAAGTTTATGGGTGTTCTCATTTTCAGCTACATGGCTTTTAATCATGGAAAGTGAAACATTAGTTTTGTTGCATTTTATTACAGGTTCTTGGTTGCAATAAAGATGCTGCTGAAATTAATTGATTTAAATGTTCCTTCTCCCCCACCCCCTTCATACAGACTCGCTTTGATTCTTCATAACTGTGGCGGGATTAATAGACATGAACAAGGCCATGCGCTTGCAGTGGAGAAAGGAAGACCCCCTGGGGGGTTTAGTATAAACGCTAACCAGATTGCAGGAGCCCAAGGGAGGAGTGTGGAGCACCACTCTACCTTCCGTGGCTCCCGACAGCCGGCAGCTAGCCCTGTGGGTAGGTGGTGCTTGGAGCCAGGGCTTAGCAGATTCCCCTGAGCAGCTGGCGGTTCTCATGAATGCAACCTGGAATTGACTGGTTTCTGCATGCTCTGGAGGAAATTTTGAGGGAGTTCAATGTAATCTTTTTTTTCAGACATTTCTTTAACAATTCTCTGGTTTTTTTGAAGCATAGTAGAGGCCGGGCATGGTGGCATGTGCCTATAATCCCAGCACGTGGGAGGCTGAGGCAGGAGGATTTCTGTGAGTTTGGGGCCAGCCTGAACTACAGTGAAACCCTGTCTCAAAAAAAAAGTTATATTAGAGAAAATGCAGATGTACCCTCTATAAAGTTAGTACATGTGGATTTGTCTGATAACCCTTCCAGAACAGAAACTTCATCTAGATTGTTAACTCTCTGAAATGGTAATAAAATGTTGAGTGAACAAGTGATGGTGCGTTATACTAGAAAAATCTTTGGCTTTATCAGACTTACAAAGAGATAATGACCAAAAAAAAAGAACTGTGGCTGTATTAGCCTTTTCAACTTTTGTATGTAAAGATTACTAGGAATAAAGATGATCACTAAATAAGGTAATGCTATACACCAACCTTTCCACCTGCATCAAGCGCACAGGGATAATGCTTGGAGGCTCTTCACAGCCAGAAGTGACCAGCCTGGCCCCCCATTGCCGAAGAGACGAGGATCTCAGGAGATACATAATTTATTTGCATCACCGTGGTTGAGAAAGTTTTATAGACTACATTGGTGTCCTTAATTCCGCCTGGATTTATTGTTAATCAGACACCAGCTTTCAACCCAGCCGTAACGGTCCGCAGGCGGATGGAGACACAACTGCGAGAGGCAGTGGGCCCCGTGTGCTGCAGTCGGCTCGGAGAAAGTGTGGCGGCCTCCGAGCCTGTCCGCCTCCTTGGCCTTAGCTTCACTCGCTCGGTGGATGGGGGATGCGGTGCCGGATCCTTTGGTGTTTCTGAAGGAGGCAGAATCGAAACAGCTGTAGTATGAGGCCTTCCTATCCAGAGTATTTATTTGGGGTTCAATGTGGTTTGAAGAACTAACAAAACCTAAGTGCCCATCAGCCCGACTGCCCCCCAGTGTGCGGGCCCTGCCCAACTGGAAGTTGAACTCCCGCTGAAGTAGACCAAACTTTCGGCTCCAGCAGGGGCACAAGGTGCCAGTTTGCTGTTTGCTCCTTCCTGAAAGATGCGCCCTCTATAAACTGCCTCCCAGACTCGGGTTCGTGCTCTCCCTCTGCCTCATGCGTGCTAGAGAGGTGCCCTACCCCTGAGCTGCACCCCAGCCCTAGCTTTAGTTTCTTGATATAAAAGTTGAGGGAAACAGCTGGAAGAGTTGACCCTCGCCAGCTCCAGCATTCCCCTGTCCCCTTCATGGAGAAGGCATCTGCGCAAGTGGCCAGTCCAGTTCTTTGCCACAAAGCTGGCCCGGATGCTGCGGAAAGCCACAGTGCAGTTCTGTGAAAGGAGCTGTGTGTGTTGGCCTGGTCAGGAGAGCAAGTGCCCGGCCCTGGGCCCGTGCTGCAGCCAGCTCATGGACACTGGCTCTGCTGGTACTTGGTGCCGTGCCGCCTTGCTAGGTGACCGCTGCGTGCTGTCTCAGCTGCCACCTCCCTCCCAGGTTCTCAGCAGGTAAGGACCACAGCAGCTCCCTAGCTGCCTGCACTGGGTGAGAAATAGAATTCCAAGTAACTTCAAAGAAGCCCCTCCCAGCGCCCATTGAGCAGGTACTTAGCCACAAACATGCGCCAGGCCTTTGGTAGCAGGGCGATGAGGAAGCAAAGCAAGAGAGGACACAGTCGTGTCCCTCAGCAGGCGCTAAAGACCAGGGTCAGCTGCACCCCACTAGCACACCCTGTGGTACACTGCCGCTTCTTACAGGCAAGCTAATTCTTACTGTGGCTCAACATCCAGTGATGCTCTAGTCCCCGTCCAAGCCATGTTCTACCTGACATTCAAGACCCTGTAGCAGCCAGGTGGTACATCAGCTGGTAATCCCAGCTATTCATGAGGCTGAAACAGGAGGATCACTTGGGCAAAACTGGAGGCCAGCCTGGGCAGCACAGTGAGACCTGGCCTCAAAAAGGGGTGTGGTGCTGTATCACTTGACCTATCCTCACTTTCCTTACCTCCGCTTGTGCCTCAGTTCCTGATGCCTTGCAAGCAGTGTAGCACATGCTTCTGAGTCACACCCAGGCTCCCTGTGGAATCTCCGAACAGCTCGTGTGGGAATCACTAGCAGAGGTGGAGTCTGGCTTCCCCCTTGCCTCTGCTGCTGGCTGGCTTTGTGGGCTGGCACTTTTTTACGTATCCTGACCCTCCAGTTCTGTGAGATAGGAAGAATAATAATAGAACCTTCAACAGGTTGTGCGGAGGCTTAGATTTAATACACATAAATCTCTCAGTGCCCAGCACACAGTAAATGAGCTCAATAAAGGTTATCGTGGGTGTGGCATCTAATTCTGTACCACACCTTGCTACTGGTTTTGTTTCTCCATTTAGATTACAGATTCTGGGGGCTGGGGATTTAGCTCAGCGGCAAAAGCACTTGCCTGGCAAGTGCAAGGTCGTGAGTTCGGTTCCCGGTACCGGAGAAAAACCAAAAAAAAAAAAAAAAAAAAAAAAAAAATAGATTACAGATTCTGAAAGCAGACCCTTTTAGGCTTAATTGTTCCCATAATACCCCTACAGCGCCAAATACGTATGAATCACTATGTGCCTGAGTACCCTAAATTTCCAAATAGAAAACATCTGACTTCCCCCATTTAGGGTTGTCTGATTGCTAGATTAGAAATTCCTCAGGACACACCACTTGTAAAGCTGCAAAAGAAACCAAATTCTTTCCTAAGCTTTAAAGGCTCTTTTTATTTTAAGGGGTCAATTTGAGACAGGATCTTGTTATGCGGTTCAGGCTGGCCTTGAACTCACTGTGTAGCCCAGGCTGGCCTCAGACTTGTGATCCTCCTGCCTCAGCCTCCTAAGTGCTGGGATTGCAGGTGTGTGTGCCATCACGCCCAGTTTAAGAGTCCTTTAAAAGATAATTAGAAATTGTTTTTTAATAACTGCCATTTGATTATAATTGGACATGGGACTGCATTTGTGCTGCACTGATGTACAAGTTTTTTTGTTTGATTTTTTGGTGGGGTGGGTACCGGGAATCAGATTCGGGACCTTGTGCTTGCCAGGCAGGTGCTGTGCTGCTGAGCTGTATCCCCACTCCAGTATAATATATTTGATGCAAAGGATGTACAATTTTTCCTCTGGTCTTTCCCTTCTCCACTCCTCAGTCCAGCTATTGCTATAAACTGCACTCTTCCAGTTAGAACACCGACTTTTATTTAAACTCAGCATATGGAAAATGAGGCCTTTATCTAGTGTCCAAGATTGGTTCCCAGGAAGAATAAAATGATCCAACCAGCTGCACAATGCTAAATTCTTTATTAAACTTTCACTTCCCATTGACATCTGTTGTACACCACACCGATCAAATCCAGCCTCTGTCCATTCACCCTGCCTCGTCCTCTGCCCACCCCCCCAGCAATCACTGTCCTACATTCAACTTTTCTTTTTTCTTCTCTCTCTCCCACAGACTTGCTCTCTTGTGTCTGGTTTATTTCACTTATTATAATGTTCTCGAATTCCATCCATCTTGCTGCAGATGACAGGGTTTGATTATTCTTTGTGGTTGGATAATACTGTGTTTTATACATCTAGCACGTCTTCTTTATCTGTTCTTCCTTTGGTGAGCACCTCGCCTGCTTCCATCTGTGAGCGTTACACATAGGCCTGCAGCTGTCTTTGTCATGCTTAGTTCATTCCCTTTGGATATATACTCAGAAGTGCTGAGTGCAGCCCTTCATTAAATTTTATTTTGAGACCAGATCTCACTAAGTTGCCCAGACTGGCCTGGAACTTGTGATCTTCCTGCTTCAGCCTCTGAGTAGCTGAAATTACCCATGTCCACAGCAGACCTGTTTTTACTTTTTTAGGAACCCCCTCGTAATAGCTGTACTAATCTACTTTCCCATCAATAGTGTATGGGTCCATTTTTCTCCCCATCTTAACCAGCATTTTTTTTTTCTTTTTGGTTTTGTTTTGTAGTAGTCATTATATGTCATTGTAGTGTTGTTTTGTTTGCAGTACTCAAGCTTAAACCCAGCATCTTCACACTGGGCTATATCCCCACAACTTTTTTGTATGTTTTATTTTGAGGTGGAGATCTCACTAATCTCCAACTTGCCCAACGAAGGGCCTCAGGATGGGGAAGTAGAGGAGACCTCAGATTCCGAGTCCTCACCTCTTCTTTTGCCCAGAACAGCTTAGCTCTTTCCTGTACAAAAAGTCCAGCCCAGGCTGGACTCAAACTTGCAGTTCTCCTGCCTCAGCCTCCAAGGCTGCTGGGACTACAGACAGGCACCACCACACGCAGCTTCTCTGTGATTTGCATTTTTCCTGATGGCTAATATTGTGCAATATTTCATACTGTATTTTATTTTTGTATTTCTTGTTTTGAGACCTGTCCTGCCCCTACACACATACACACACGGTAGCTGAATGCCCTACCACTGAGCTACATCTCTGCCCCTTTTTACTGTATTTAGAGACTACTTGATAATTTGCTCAGGTTGGCCTGGAACTTGCAATCTTCCTGCCTCAGTCTCCAAGAAACTGGAATTACAGTTTAGGTTCCAGGTACTTTTTTTTTTCCCCCTAGTACTGGGGATTGAAACCAATACCTTTATACTGAGCTACATCACCGGACTTTTTTTTTTTTTTCCAACTTGTTTATTTTTGAGTCGGTCTTGCCTCTCAGAGGCTGAGGTAGGAGGATACCAAGTTCAAGCTCAGTCTGGGCAACTTAGCAAGACTCTGTCTCAAAATTTAAAAAAAAAAAATTAAGTGTGAAAGCCTTGGGTTCAGTCCCAAGTACCAAAGGAACAAAAAAGAAAAGAAAAGGTCCATGCTACCCAAAGTGATCTACAGATTTAATGAAGTGGCCATCAAAATACAAATGACATTCTTTGCTAAACTACGAAAAAAATCCTCACTTCATATGGAAACACAAAAGACTTGCAGCACGTCAAGCAATCTTGAACAAAAAGAGCAAAGCTATAAAGATCATGATACTGATAGTAGCAGGACATACTACAGAGCCACAGTCACCAAAACAGAGTAGCATTGGTGTAAAAACACGCGCAGAGCAGCGGGGCAGAACAGAGGTCACGGGGATCCTTACCCCACACTGAGGTGTGAGCAGGAGAGAAGTGCTTCTCAACCCCGCTTGCTATTAAAGCGACCTGGGGAGCTTTTAGCAAATGATGTCTGAGTCCCGGGATCAATTCCATCAGAAGAGGGAGGAAGGGTCCTGCTGTCTTACTGTTGCATAGCTCTCTAGGTGATCCTGTTGCAACCATAGCAAAGAGTCTCCCAAGCGGAGCAATGTAAGATTTTATTAAAGAATGTTAAAGCCAGAAGAGGTTCTTCGAAATCATCTAATCTATCTTACTTTACAGCAAGGAGCTGAGATCAGCTGGGAAAGGCATTCCTGGCTGCTGCTTAGAGTCTGTACTTCAGCATGGAGCCTGTAGCTCTGTCTCCACCTCCCTTGGTGTGTCCTCCCCACCTTCAGTTCAGCCGAGGAGTAACTTGCCCAATGGAGGGCCTCAGGATGGGGAAGTAGAGGAGACCTCAGATTCCGAGTCCTCATCTCTTCTTTTGCCCAGAACAGCTTAGCTTTTTCCGTACATGAGAGAGGAGCATTTTACAGGTGAGGAAACTGAGGCCCAGACAGGACTACAGAGGTGGCAAATGGCAAAACTGGTACCAAAACAGTCTGACTTTCTGAGGCACAGGGCCTTCCCTAAAAGCACAAAAATACTGTAGTAGCTGAAGAGTCACTCGTATGCAGTCTAGGAATTTCAATCCAAAACTCCCTATTGAATTCCTAAAATCTAGCTGGATGTGGTGGCGCATGCCTACAATCCTGGCACTTGGGAGGCTGAGGCAGGAGGATTGCTGCAAGTTTGAGTCCAACCTGGGCTACACAGTTCAAGACTGGCCTGAACTACGTAGTGAACCCCTGTCTCAAAACATAAAAAACAAACAAATCTTAGAGTCAGGGAAATATGCTATTTGCCTGAAATCTGAGTTCCTTCAGGGACTGAGCTCAAAAAGCACACACTGGGCAGGTCTTGGATGTGAATTTCTCTAAATTTGCTTGTGAGAGAAGGGGGAGCGTGGGAAAGGGAGGGGAACTTGGAATCTGATGGAATTAGGTTCAAATCCAACAGCTGTGATCTTGAGCAACCCCTCTGCTTCCCTAACCACGGTTTCCTGGGCTTGAACACAGGGTTTTGAATGACCTGGGTTTTTTTCTTTTGTTTTGTTTTTTTCCGGTACCAGGAATCGAACTCATGACCTTGCGCTTGCCGGGCAGGCGCTGTGCCACTGAGCTAAATCCCCAGCCCCTGAACACAGGGTTTTGATGCCTTCCCAGAGCTGCTGTGAGGCTGGAGTGCTGCGCACACGGCTGGCAAGGGATGGGCAGGAAGTGATTTATGGAGCTGGGGCTGGCTGTTGAGCCGACCCCACCCTTCCACAGCTGCCACTGGACGCTGTCTGCTCTCTGGGACCGGAGCTGCCAGGCTCCATGCCCAGGAGGAGATAGATGCTAGGAGACAGTGTTACATGACTCAGCCTCAGGGATCTTGAGAGAACAGCCGGTTCTGGGCCATGAGTGAGGGGGGTATGGAGGCCTCCCGTGGGGTGACTGGATTCTGCCTTGACCTCTGCTACTCCCCACCTGCCCAACCTAGCAGTTCTCTTCCTGTACCGCGCGGGGCTTTGAGGGAAGGTGGCATCACCCGTGGGGCCTGTGGTAGGGACTGTGTTTACCTGTGAGCAGGTGACACACCCTCCTCTGAATACCGACCACCAGCGTGTGTCTGGGGAGCGGCCGCCATCACAGGAAGTCTCCTCCGAGACCACCGTTGGTCTTCACAGGAAGAGGGGGCTGACGGAAGTTCAGAGAGGTGGTGTGGAATGCTAATCTTGGTTCCACGCATCTGCAGGCGGCAGGAATCGAGCAGCCCTCCGGGGCCTGCCTCGTGCCGACAGAGCCAGGGGTCTGGGAAACATCAGGGAAGCCAGACACCCTCTTCACTCAGAGGGCTCTCCTAGATGTGGAGGTGGACATGTAAACAGAAGAAAATCCGCACAAACAGAAACAGAGAGAAAGAGAGTTGCTGAGTGCTCTGTGCCCCAGGAGACAGCAGTTAAGGGCGCTGGCTTTGGCCCGGAGAGCCTGCCATGCTGTCTTCTGCTGCAGTGTCACCTCCTGTGTAGCCCCAGGCAAGAGACTTAACCTCTCTGTGTGTCAGCTCCCTCTTCGGTAGAACAGAGCTAATGGTTGTAATATTCGTGGAGTTGCTATGAAAAAATGCATGTAAAGCTCCCAGTGTCTAGCATGTAGCACTCAACAAACGCGAGCTAGTGGTTCTCTGGGCAGGGGAGAGAAGATGAGGAGGAGGCCTGCACTGGGCCAGCATGTAGCTCAGTGGCACAAGCGCCTGCCAGGAAGATTGCATAGGGCGGGGCATCTGGACTGGGCATTAAAGGGCCAATGTCTTAGAGAAGAGAAAGTCACTCCAGGCAAAGAGGCGCTTTGCCCCTAGCGAGGAGGGAGAGGTGCGCAAGGGCTGCCAGCACGCTGGGTGCAGAAATCCTGGATCCCACAGCTTTTTCTACAGGAGGGGGCAGCTCTGATGGAGTGGGCAGTGTCTTTATCAGGTGTGACCAAAAGTACGGTGGATGAGGCCAGGCATGCTGGTGCACACCTGTAATCCCAGCACTCAGGAGGCAGAGACAGGAGGATCACTGTGAGTTCGAGGCCAGCCTGGGCTACAAAGTGAGCTCAAGGCCAGCCTGAACTGCACAGCGAGACACTGTCTCAAAAAGACAAAACAAACAAACAGAGTGGACACTGTTGCCAAGCACCATCCGGCACAAAGGTGTAAACACATTCCAGCGTGGCCTCATCCACCTTGTTCCCCAGATCTGGCGCTGTGTGACTTCTGGCTCTTCCCCCAAAAGAAATGTCCAGGAAAGGAGAGTGTCTAGAATCAGTTCAGGGCATTGAAGCAGCCACAACAGCGCAGCCGAAGACATGAACGAGGACTTGCAGAATGCTTCGGAAAGTGGCAGGAGTGAGGGGGTGAGTGTGTTCAAAATGAGGGTATTTGGAGGGGGGTTCATGGCAATGACTTTTACAGTAATAACAATTTTCTGTTGAACAGTTCACCATATTCTGCTCACACCTTGTAATTTAGAGTCAAGTTCCGGAACAAAACCCTAAATAGTATGTTCACATTGTCACTCTGACTTTTTTTTTAACTTGGATGCATCACGTGCTCTTTGGTATCCCACAAAGAAAGACTGGAATTCAGCTCTTGTCCCTCCCGGTACCCCCAAACACCCGCACCCTCAGCCATTCTGTGTCCTGATGTGGTTTTTCCTTAGGTGCCGGTCCACGCCTCCGGGGTTATGAGCGTGTGCAAGAATCCAGAGACGAGCCCGGGCGATAAACTTTGAACCCATTCTCACTCATGCAGAACGTTTTGTTTCACCTCCTTAATGATCTTTCAGGGGCTGGGGATTTAGCTCAGCGGCAAAGCGCTTGCCTGGCAAGCGTGAGGTCGTGAGTTTGGTTCCCGGTACCGGAGAAAAATCAAAAAAAAAAAAGAAAAAAAAAAAAAGATCTTTCAGTTAATATACGTATTTCTAACTCAGTTCCAAACGCTTCAACCTTCCCATTGATTTGTCTGTTTGCCTACTTGCTGGGGTATTTCTGGGGCACATTTTCATCGGCAGCACACAGCCTTTCAGAGATCCGATGAGCAAGCTGGTTCTGACTGAGAACATAGCTATTGCAGGTCGGTTCCTCCTTCAGGAAACGGAGTCCCGATTCCCAGGCAGCTGGTAGGGAGTGCACGCCCGCCGAGGATGTGCCCACCCGCAGACTGCCAGCTGCTGCCCTCAGACTCCCCGTTCTGTGCAGCTTCCTCCTTGGCCTCGACGCCCCCCGCTAGACACAGAATCCCTGCTCTTGCCCCATGCCTGCCCCTTAGACAGCGGCTGGCGTCTTTTCTCCTGGCCCTACACCGTGCTGGATGCTGAGGTAGATGTGTAGATCTCGGCAGTGATTAGTGGTAAAATCCCTGTTCCCAGGAGCCGGCACTGCGGAGGGCAAACTAAAAGTCAGCAGGGCTGCCAGTGGGCTGACTCATGCCCACCACGCACACGGCCTGGGGTTCAATGCCCGGCACTGCGTAAAAGGAAAATGACTGAGTGCAGAGCAAGGTATGAGGGAAAGTGGCAGAGTTGATAAAGGCAGAGCAGGGAAGGGGACAGGAAGAGTCAGAGGCCGGAGGAAGTCTTTTTTTTTTTTTTAAATAAAAGCAGACAATTTATTTGAAGGAGGGGAAAGTGAGAAAGAGAGACAGAGACAGAGAGGGAGGACAGCTACTCTGGAGGAGGAGGAGTATTCACAGGGAGAATACTCTGGATTCCCGTCTGGCTTTTTATTGAGATCTTTGTCTCACTGAGGCTCCCGGGATCTGGTGGGTCCTGTGGCTGTCTTTGGACCCCCCTTGGATTTCTTCTGCTCATGGGAGGAAGCACTGACAGTATCTAGTGTGGGGACCATGCTGGGCAAAGGTCCTGAGGCTGGGAACCGAGTGTGGCCGGAGAGGAGCAAAAGGGACGGCGCAGGAGGGTTGGGGGCAAAACAAGCCTCTGGGTCAGACAGAGGGGCAGACAGAGATGACCTCCCGGGTTAGAACCTTCCATCTGCTGTTCCCTCGCCGCGCGCCTCAGTTTCCCCGCGTGTAGTATGCGAGCAAGACATCGCCCTCGAGCCTCCCAGGGCTGCGGAGAGGTCTGAGTGCAGAGGCGAGTGCGGCAAAGCAGTAGGTGCCCCGCCTGGGTTGTCTGGTTACTGCAGGGCAGGAAGGAGGGCAAGAGCTGGCTTGGAAGGGCAAAGGGACTGGGGACACGAGGGCCCTGTCCTGTCCGCGGCTGTTGATTCAGCCAGGACCTGAGCCGCCATGGATAGGGCTCGCTCTGCAGGGGGGCCACGGAGCCGGAGCCCCCAGCCCCGGGATTTGCCTCTAGAGCCTGGAACAGAGATGGAGATGACCCCGAGGCAGCAGCGGGGAGGAGAAACGGAGATGCCGAGGTACAGAGACTCGCAGCCTGGGGAGACGCCGAGCCCGACCCGGAGCCCGGCGGCGAAACGGGGCCCGAAGCCCCGGGGCAGGGCGAAGCCGGGGCGCACGGCGTGGCCG